CCCTCACAACACCTGACAAGAAAGACCTTCTCTGGAAGGTGACAGGGACGCAGTCCTGTCTTATCAGCCTCTCCTGAGTTGCCTCCTGCTGTCCCCGAGGTGATGACCTCTGTACCTGCCCAGTTGTGTCTGGGGCAGATGCTGGCGCCCCTTCCTTGCCTCTGAATGTAAAAACACTCTTGCTGGGCACTGGGGAGCCCTGTAGAGCCACCCACGAATGGGGCCAATCTGAAGGCTGGCACCCTGGGGCCGTGGGAGGGTCCCGGGGAGGGCTAGAGCTCACTGTGGGAGTCCCAGCCTTGTCCACAGCAGAGTCCCAGGATGGCTCCTCCTAGGACTTGGTTTAGAAACCACCTCACTGACCACCAGCCCTGAGCACTCAGGATAGTGGGACCCCACGCCCTTCTAGGGGGTTCCCAGTACTGAGGTGGGGGAGGAAATCACACACCTTCCCAGCTCCCAGAGTTGAGGCGTGGGCTGGGGGCGGGATCCCACACCCTCCCTGGGGGTCCCAGTGCTGAGGTGAGGGCGGGGGGCGGGGTCCCAGTGCTGAGGTGTGGGCTGGGGGCAGGGAGGATCCACACCCTCCCTGGGGGTCCCAGTAGTGAGGTGTGGGCTGGGGGCGGGGATCCTCATACCCTCCCTGGGGGTCCAGTGCTGAGGCGTGGGCTGGGGGTGGGGTCCCAGTGCTGAGGTGTGGGCTGGGGGTGGGGAGGATCCACGCCCTCCCTGGGGGTCCTGGTGCTCAGGTGTGGGTGGGAGCCCTGGAGCTCACCGCCCAGGACTGCTCAGGCAGCTTGGAAGGAGGCAATGGCAGTCGAGGCGAGGGGGCCGCTGTGGGGCTGTGGCCATAAGCCCCTCCTGGGCAGGGCTGGGGAGGCATCAGGAAGCCACTCTGGGAGAAGCTGGGTCAGGCCAGGGCTCCAGGGCTGTCCCTCCATGTGCTCGGCGATGACTCCAGGCTGGTGTCACTGTGGATGGGGACGCACTGGGGCTGTCTCCCACGTCCCCTGTGGGGCCCTCAGCTCCCAGCACCTGCAGTGCTGAGTGGAAATGGCCTCATGTGGCCGGGCGAGTGACCCTGAGGGACACAGTGGCCACCTCTCCTTCTCAGCACCTGCTTCAGCTCATGGGCCCGGGACTCCAGAGAAATGAGAACGCGTGTTCTCCATCTAAATGAAACCTTTGTGTCTGTTGGTGAAGCCCATGAGGCCTGATTCAGACAGAAGCATCACGCTGCCTGGAAACAGGTGTTTCCTAACCCTGCCTTCTGGAAATCGGAGCCAAACCCCAGTGTGGACAGAAGGCCAGAGAGAGAGGTGCCCAGGTCCAGCTGGTGTCGACGTAACTCGGTGGGCCTCTTCTGGCAGCAGGAAGCCTCCGTTTCCCACCAGGGCTGGTTCCAGGATGGTTTGGCTGTGCACGTGAAACTCAAAAAACAGAAAATGAGGCCAAAGAGCCCCGTGGGTTAAATAAAAAGCAGGAGCAAGATGGCCTCCCAGGGCTGGTACCTCCTTCCCCACAGGCACCTCAGCCCTGCAGAGTGGCCTTTGCATCTGCCCAGACCAAGCCGCAGGCTGCGGGGTCCCGGCCGTGGGGATGCATCCCACAGCCTGATGGGCCGTGAGGCTCCCGTGGGGCTCCCGTGGGGCTGCTGTGGCTCCATTCCCACATCCAGGCTCCGTGCTATCAGGAAGGAGAGAGACCCATCTTTTGACTGGAGGCTTGTGCCAGCCCAGATGGGAGGCACCAAGGTCCTGGGAGGCCCAAGGACGTGTTCAGGATGGTGCAGTCACTCCTGCTGGCCCTGCTGGACTGGGTGTATCCCCAGCTTTGCTCCCCAGTGGGTTGGCCACAGGCATAAACTGTGCCCCTGCTCCTGGGCCCTGCCCCCTGCACACCTGGGCCCCCAGCAGCCTCCTCGTCCACAGCCTCTGACCAGGCACAGACGCCTTCTGATTTGAGGCAACACTCTCAAAGTGGCTTTCACGGGGGCAATGGCATTTGGGTTCCTGAGGGACCTGTCCCTGGCAGTGCCAGAGTGAGGCTAGAGCCTGGGCAGCCTCTGGGGCTGTGTGATGGTGGCTGTCCACACTCAGGACGCAGAGGTAACCGACTTCTGTGGGCACAGCCCCTGCCTCCGCGGGGAAGTGCTGTGTGCATGATTGTACTTTAAAAAAGTACTGCTTTGTTGGGATTTAAGTGACATACGATCCACTGCACATCTTTAAATCATGCAGTTTGACAACTCTGGACACAGAGCAGACCTGTGAAGTGACTCATGCGGTCACCAATCCAGAGAGCAGGCCTATCTGTGACTCACATCCTACGCCCCCGTTTGCTGCGACGGCCGCTGCTGCTTTAGTCTCGCCACTTGTTTTCTGTCACCCCCAAGTCCATTCTTCCCTTTCCCTCTTTCTCTACATATTTTTGGACTGGACTTTTAAACCTTCCATTTTATCTCCTCTGTTAGTCTATTAAGCTGTAATTCTTTGTTAGTGGTTGTTTCAAGGGTTTGTAAGTACATCTTTAGCTTACCACGATCTACCTTCAAGTGATACCACCTTACTTCACATATCACATCCAACGTCTCCCAGCCTTCAGGCCACTGTGGTCACACAGTTCACCTATACGTATAGTACAAACTGCAGATACGTTAATATTTGTGTTTAAACAGTCAGTTAACTTTATTTTTAATAGAGGTGCAGTCTTGCCATGTTTCCCAGGATGATCCCCAATTCCTGGGCTCAAGTGATCCTCTGGCCTCAGTCTCCCAAAGTGCTGGGATTAGAGACATAAGCCACCGCACCCGGCCAAGCCACTCATCTTTTAACCCATTTCCCGTTCAGAAAAAAAAAACCAAAAAACTGCAGCTCACTGCCAGCGCTCATTTCTTGGGGCAAATGGGAGATGGGTTAAAGGGATTTAAATAACAAGAGGAAAATTTTGAATGGTGCACATGCTCTTCATTCTTCTTTTCCCTGAAGCACATCCTTTAACGTTTCTTGTAGTGCAGGTCTGCTGGTGACAAAATTATGTTAGCTTCTGTGTGTATGAAAATGTCTTTATGTCACCATTGTTTTGGAAAGATTTTTGTCAGGTATGGAATGTGAATTTGGCAGTTTTATCCTTAGTACATTCCACTGTCTCTCACCCGTGCTGCTTCTGAGGAGTCAGCCATCCTCGTCAGCTTTGTGCCTCCCAACAGAACATGCCCTTGTCCTCTGACTGCTTTTAGTATTTTCTGTTTGTCACTGGTTTTATGCAATTGGATTATGATGTGCACTCACATCTCTTGTGTTTGGAGTTCACTGGGTCTATGGGACTCCAGATTTACACCAGTGGCCCCCAGGTTCTCAGGCCTTTGGCCTCTGACTGAGAATTACACCATTGCCTTCCCTGGCTCTGAGGCTTCAGGACTTGGACTGGGCTACACTAGCAGCTTGCTTGGGTCTCCAGCTTGTGGGTGGCCTATTGTGGGGCTCTTGACCTGCCAAAATTGTGTCAGCCAATGCCCCTAAGGCCCCTCTCATCTGTCAGTCTGTCTGTCTATCTATCTATCTATCATCATCTATCTCCTACTGGTTCCGTCTCTCTGGAGGCCCGACTAATGCAAATAGCTTCTACTGATGCGTCTTCAAGGTGCCTCATGGTCTCTTCTGTGAAATCCAATCTGTCACCCCATCCAGGGTAGTTTTCACTGTCAGTATTATAGTTGCTCATCCCTGTAAGGTCGGTCTGGGTCTTCTTAATCTCTTCCTCGTTATTTCTTAACTTTCTGGACGTCTGGGCTGCGGTTTCAACCACAGTTTGAGTTCTGTGACTCTAGCACCGATGCCGGCTCCGGGTGGTTGCCTTTGCCGGGCGACTCTCCTTGACGTGTCTGCGCTTGGCTGCTCCTCTGCATGCCTGGCACTCGGAGGTCAGGCACTGAGAGTTTACCTTGCAGGGTGCGGACACTTTGGTAACCTATAGATCGTCTGGAGCTTTGTTCTGGGATGGAGTGAATTATCTGGGAACGGTCTGATCATTTCAGGTCTTGCTTATGATTTTGTAGGTGGGTGAGGAGCAGGGCTCAGTCTAGGGCTAATTATCCCCACTCCTGAGGCAAGATTTTCTGAGAACTCCACCTCATGCTCACAGATCGCGAGTTTTCCCAGTCTGGCTGGTGGGAGAGGGTCCTGTCCCCAGCCCACGAGTACCAGAAATGGATCTTTGGTCTTTTCAAAGGTCTCTCCCAGCCTTGGTAGCCTCCCTGTCGGAGTGTGAGAATGGCAGCACCACACCGGCTGCTGGAGGGGCTGACCTGGTGAGTCCTTCCCCATGCAGGCATCTCTCTCTGGCACTCCGACCTGCAAAGTCCTGCTGACTTGGTCTCTTCAACTCACGGAGGCTGCTGGGCTCTTCCTGGGCCCCTCCCTGCACGGAGGCCTGCGAACTCTCAAGGCGAGGGAGGTCTGAGGCCACCACCAGGCTCACCTCCCGTTTTCCTGTCTCTCAGGGATCATGGTCCTTTGCTGCCAAATGTCTTGTGTCTTGACATCTTTTGTTTCATGTTTAGTCCGTTTTTTGTCTTGTTTTAGGTCTGTTTCCTATGATGTTGTCTTGGGTGGAAGTGGAAGGTTTGTTTTTCAAATAAGACAACATTTTAAATTTGTTTGAAAATGTTAGGGAGTGTCTAAAATCCTGGGAAATACCTGGACACCTGCTGTGTTGCTCCCTCTGGATTGTTCCAGCCACACGATGGGCACCGCCACCCCCACAGTGGTCAGGCCTGGCATGCTGCTCCCTACGTATCGTTCTAGCTACGCGATGGGCATCGCCCCTCCCACAGTCGTCAGGCCTGGCATGCTGCTCCCTATGTATCGTTCTAGCTACGCAATGGGCACCGCCACCCCCACAGTGGTCAGGCCTGGCATGCTGCTCCCTACGTATCGTTCTAGCTATGCGATGGCATGCCTCCCACAGTCGTCAGGCCTGGCATGCTGCTCCCTATATCATTCTAGCTACGCAATGGGCACCGCAACCCCCACAGTGGTCAGGCCTGGCATGCTGCTCCCTACGTATCGTTCTAGCTATGCGATGGGCATTGCCACCCCCATGGTCGTCAGGCCTGGCATGCTGCTCCCTACGTATCGTTCTAGCTATGCGATGGGCATCGCCACCCCCATGGTTGTCAGGCCTGGCGTGCGTGGCTTACAACACAGCAGGAGCGCCCTCACGCACTGCAGCCTGGGTGCCCATCTCCGGCTCGTCTTCCTCGATGCAGGCTCTGATGTCAGATGACCAGGGGCTGTGGGCTGGGCTGGAGGACACAAGCAGGCCCAGCGACCCCAGGATGGAGGAGGACCGGCTGCTGGAAGAGGAAGTGCTGCTGTCCGAGATGGTGGAGTGTGGTCGCTTGAAGGGGGTGGCCTGGTCAGAGGAGGACACCGCGGTGGGCCCTCTCATTTGTGACTCTGGAAAGGGACAGAAAGCAGGTCAGGCTGGCTTCCTCTCCAGAAGTGCAGCCCAGGTTCAGAAACGGGATCAGAGCCGTCCGAAAGGCCGACCAGGCTTTGTTCCTGCAGTCATGCCCGTCCAACCCACTGTGTCAGCCACAGGCCCAGTGCGCTCTGCAGGGCGAGTGAGGGTGGGGCTGAGGCCACCGTACCTGTGCCCTTGATGATGCTGTTGTGGGCCCGGTCACTTATCACTGTACATTTGGGGGCCTGGTTGCTGGGCCTGACGTCCATGAATGGCTGGTTGCCTATCCCCATGGATGCCATTTCTTGGATTCTGAGTTCTAAGACAGAAGAAAGTATGACAGTTTCCAAAGCAACTCGGGGGCTAACGCCACCCCAAAGATGCCCAGTACCCCTAATGCCCTCAGCCCAAACCAGGAGGGTGTACAGGGCCTACCCACCCTGCCTCCCATGAGGCATGGGGGTCCAGGATGCTGAGGCTTCCTGTTCCAGTTTTCAGCCTCATAGAGATCTCTCCCAGGGAGCCCAAGGCAGTAACCAAGAATAAGGAAGCCATGAGGCCTTGGAAACGGTGTGTCCAACCTGGGGGTGAGGAAGGGTCCCTGTCTGCTGGTAAGCGGGAGAGGGCCCCACAGCAGGTCCCAGTTAGAGCAGGGGTCAAAGGCCTGGGAGCTGTGTCCATGGGAAAGACAAAAGTGACAGGTTTCTAGGAGTTTGAATATTGAGAGGTGAGCTAAGCATAAGGTGAGAGTTTGGGAATGAATTTATTCTTGGTCAAATTAAGCAAAGAAAAAAGATGATACTAATTGTAAGTAAATATATGAGGATAGAAAACATAATTACATTTATGTAGTCCTAATGCATATGCTGAAGAATATTATAGTAAGAGTTATTTCCAGAGGTCTTGGGAGAACGGGAAGACGTGTAGTGTGTGTGCTGCAGGCACAGAGTTACTGATCACCTTCACCAACAGGTAACGTGCAAAGCTGGTTAATCAAGAGTGAGTGTCCCCTCTTGCAGGGAAGGGGCCGAGTGTGGCTGCCCGGGACGCAGGGCTTGGAGTTGGGCAGCGAACAGGACGTTGCTCTTCCCCGACTCCGAAGCACTGTTTTAGGGTTAGAGCTGTGCGCGTGGAGGCGGGACAGCTTCCTCCTCTGGCTGCAGTGGGACTGCCTGTATACCTTACATCCAAGCCTGCGGCCGGGAACAACCAGAAAAGCTGGACACATGTTTTGAAGGTGTTTTGGAGGTGACAAGGCAATCCAGCCTCAAAGGGCTAACATCCTGGGCAGATGCGGAGCTCACAGACCACTGGACACCTGACACCTTTCTAACCCCTCAGGGCACTGCTGGTGGCCGATGAGCTCGGAGCTTGGAGGCTGAGAGCTTCGGACAATGCACAGGGTAGGGAGATAAAACCTGGAATTTGAGGATTGCCAGGGAGGAAGGGCCTGGGAAACTCCCAGACATTCAGTGGGGACCTGGAAAGGGAGCATGGACTTTGCCAGGAGTGGGACAAACAAGCTGGATCAGCTGCCCAAAGGTCTGAGGCGGACTTCATGCAGCCCCTCCCCTGAGTGCGTTCAGATGACCCACCCCTGCTCTTCCCACAAAAATAAATCCTCTGGATTTATAAAGCCCACCAGCCTGGGCCTCAGATGACCCTTGCACATTTCCTACATCATATCTACTACTTAATAAAAAAATTATCAGGCACACCAGGAGAAAGGACAAAATGAGGAAAGGGCGAGGAAAACCCCAGATATTTAAACATCCGCGAGATAAAGGTTTGGATGTCTCAGGCCGTGGAGGTAACCAGGATTAATGTGGCAGGAAGTAGATCACAGGACAGACAGTCTCAAAAGGAAACGGAAATCCATCAAATAAAAGCAGGGAAGACGTAATCGAAACACAGAAATCACGCGAGAAACATAGCAACATGTAGAAAGGTCATACATGTAGTCGGAGTTCCAGGTGGAGCACAGAGAGCGGAGCAGAAGTGATCAAATGTTCCAGAACTAACCCCACGCTGGGACACAGGCAAGGACCGCCATCCATGGCCATCAGAGCACAGCTGGCCTGGGGGCAACCAGACTGCTCTCATTCATGGCGGTGGCTGCCCAGGTCTCTCTGCCTGGGGGGTGTTCCCCCACTTCCTGTGGACGGGACAGAAGGGTCAGGTGGTTCACACCCCAGGAGGAGCCTCAATGATAAGGGACAGGAGCTGGCAGAGAAACACCTAGGCCCCTCAGCATGTGGGGGTCCCTCAGCATGTGGGACAGTGCCTGGGTGTGCCTGTCTTCCAGAGGGTGTGTGCAAGGACCTGCCCATCAGTCACCCTCCATGGCCTTCCCCTCGTCTCTCACTTCCCTGTTCTCACCAAACAGGTAGAAAACAAAGAGTAAGATACTCTAGATTTATGCCCGCATTGCATTAAATGTAAACACACTACTCCAATTTAAAGACAAGGACAGTCAAACTAGATAAAAAGATAAAAGTGAAATCAAACATATGCCTTTTACAAGAGACATATCTCAAATATAAGAACACCGAAAGTTCCAAGTAAGAAGATGGACAAGTATGTGTTGTGTAAACACAACTTTGCAAAAGGAAACTGGAATAGCTACATTAACAGGAAGCACAGTCGGCCTTCTGTATCTGTGGGTTCCATATCCACAGATTCCACCAAGGATCAAAACTATTGGAACAAAAAGCAATTACAATAAAAGTTAAAAATACAAATAAAAAACCAATAGAACAGCTATTTATAAGCATTTTCATTGTACTATGGATTATAAGTAATGTACAGATGATTTGCAGCATATAGGAGCATGTGTGTAGGTTATGTGCAACTACTGTGCCATTTTATATCAGCAACTTGACCAACTACAGATTTGGGTATCCGTGGGGGAGTCCTGGAACCCATCCCCATGGACACAGAGGGACAGCTGTAGATCTAAGGTGAAAGGCATTCCTAAAAATAAAGAGATGCATTTCATTATCATAAAAGAGGCTCTGTTTCTAGGAAGATATAGCAATTCTACATTACTATGCACCTAATAACTTAGCTTTGAAACATAGAAAGCAAAAATTGACAGAACAAAAAGAAAACTAGACAAATTCAAATCTACATCATCATGGGAGATTTTAACACACTTTTCCTAGTGATAGGCAGCCAAAAAGCCAATAAGGATATAACAAATCTGAACAACACAATTTTCAAAACGTGATCAGAACTCTGCAATAACAACTACAAAGCACACTTTCTCTTCACGTGGAAAATTTGCCACAATGCTGGGACATACAACTTTTCAAATAACCGAAGCTGTTACAGGTGGCTAGACAGGCATGAGCGGGGCAGGAGAGGGCTCCCCACCCACTGGGAATGTCGGGTGGTGGCCTGGCATATACCACACTGCCTCTCTAAAACGGGTACCTTGGCAGCCAGTGCCAGGGAGAGGGCATTTCCTGATGGTCCACACCTGCTGCACTCAAGTGTTAACTGAAGGCAGGTGCCAGGAGAACCAACTTTGTGCATTAAGAGACAAAATGGTAGAATGTCACCTTTTGGGGGCGCCCCACCAGACAAGGGAAGAAAGCCTCAGACGGGGATGCGTACAACTTCCTAAGCACACGGGGCGTCCTCACGTCCCCCCACCAGAAAAGGGAAGAAAGCCTCAGACGGGGATGCATACAACTTCCTAAGTAGACGGGGCGTCCTCACATCCCCCAACGGAAAAGGGAAGAAAGCCTCAGACGGGGATCCTTACAACTACAACTTCCTAAGCACACGGGGCGTCCTCATGTCCCCCAACAGAAAAGGGAAGAAAGCCTCAGACAGGGATGCGTACAACTTCCTAAGTACATGGGGCGTCCTCACGTCCCCCCACAGAAAAGGGAAGAAAGCCTCAGACAGGGATGCGTACAACTTCCTAAGCACACGGGGCGTCCTCACGTCCCCCCACCAGAAAAGGGAAGAAAGCCTCAGACAGGGATGCGTACAACTTCCTAAGCACATGGGGCGTCCTCACATCCCCCCACCAGAAAAGGGAAGAAAGCCTCAGACAGGGATGCGTACAACTTCCTAAGCACATGGGGCGTCCTCACGTCCCCCCACAGAAAAGGGAAGAAAGCCTCAGAGGGGGATGCGTACAACTTCCTAAGCACACGGGGCATCCTCACGTCCCCCCACCAGAAAAGGGAAGAAAGCCTCAGAGGGGGATGCGTACAACTTCCTAAGCACACGGGGCATCCTCACGTCCCCCCACAGAAAAGGGAAGAAAGCCTCAGAGGGGGATGCGTACAACTTCCTAAGCACACGGGGCGTCCTCACGTCCCCCCACCAGAAAAGGGAAGAAAGCCTCAGACGGGGATGCGTACAATTTCCTAAGTACACGGGGCATCCTCACGTCCCCCCACCAGACAAGGGAAGAAAGCCTCAGACGGGGATGCGTACAACTTCCTAAGCACACGGGGCATCCTCACGTCCCCCCACCAGAAAAGGGAAGAAAGCCTCAGAGGGGGATGCGTACAACTACAACTTCCTAAGTACACGGGGCGTCCTCACGTCCCCCCACAGAAAAGGGAAGAAAGCCTCAGACGGGGATGCGTACAACTTCCTAAGTACATGGAGTATCAGAGTATCCTCACATCCCAAGGGAAAGGCCCACACTGCGCATGCAGGCAGCCCAGCCTAAGGGGAGAATCACGGGAAACGGGCCGGCCCAGGAAGTCCTAGGATAAGGATAAACGGGGCCCTCGATCTCAGCGCCCACTTGGGTCTCTTCCAAGTGTGCTTTTCTTCCTTTCCCGCTCTAAAGCCTTTTCAAATGAACTTCCATTCCTGCTCAGAAACTTGCCTCAGTCTCTTTTTCTGCCTTATGTCCCTCAGTCAAATTCTTTCTTCTGAGGAGACGAGATTTGAGGTTGCGGCAGACCTGTACAGGTTCGCCACCGGTCACTTGGATACCTTCCACGGATAACAAACTCTAGTGTATATTATTTGACCAAAGCGGTCTTATACTCAAAACTGGTATCACAAAGTTAACTAGAAAATCTTGGAAATTAGGTAATGCATTTCTAAATAATCCATGATGAGTCCAAGAAGAAATTAAAGTGGAAGTTAGAAAATATACTGAACTGACTGTTAATAAACATATGACATATACAAACTTGTGGGATGCAGCTAAAGCTTAGAGGAAAGTCTGTAGTCTTAAATACCGCACAAAAACGAGAACAAAACAAAGGCTAAAATCAATGATCTAAGCATCCACCTCAAGAAATGAGGTAGAAAGGAAAAGCAAATGAAACACTGAAAAAGGTAGACACAAGAAATAACAAAGAGTAGGAATTAATTAAATAGAAAATAAGTGTGTAGATAATCCATTAAACCCAAATTCTGTTTTCTGGGAAGACTAATGTGGTAAATCCCTGGCAAAACTGGAGAAGTCAAGAGAGGGCTCAAGTGACCAACGAGGTGATGGGGAGGGGGTGCCAGGTCCTCCACACACCTGAGAAGCATTAGGTTCCACTTTCCAGGCAACCCAGCTGTACCTGCAGAGCCTGGACAGCTCTGTGGGCCACACCGCACATCCCCAGGCCAGGCAGAGTCCTGTGTGCATACCCTGTGCTCAGCTGCCCCCCGACCCTGTTGAGGAGGGCTGTGAAACTAAATAACTTGAACTCAATGCTGTGAGAACTGTAAGATATTCTGAACCCTGAGAGGAGCCCGGCAATGCCCTGAGTCGCGGAGCATCAGATGCAACTTTTGCTTTTTCTGGTAAGTGGTCAGGGATGACCGGGAGGCACCAGAGGTAAGAATCTCTCAGAACATGCCTCCTCCTCACAGAATGTAGCAACCTGGACTAATCGAGCTGCTGTCAAGTTGGCTGCAGCCGTTTCTGCCTCTGTAAGTGAAGCCTCAGCTTCCCCACTTGGGAGCACGGACCCCGTCCCTTTGGAGTCTGCATTCTGGGGTGGCCATTCCCATGCTTTGTGCTTGAATCAGCTTAGTTCTATTTTCTGAATCTGATTATTCAAGGCTGGCAGGGCCTATTTCCTGCAGGCTCCCGGTGCTTGGAACACAGGAGGGGTTGAAATGGACAGATCGACCCCAGGGAGGCTTTGTGCACCACAGTCAGGCAGACCCCAAACAGGAAGCAGGACCAGTGGGCTACAAAGGAAGGAAAAAGGCCAGGAAGGCTCTTCAGGATGGTGGCATCTTGGAGATGAGGCCTCTGACCAAGCAGCTGCTGCCCACGGGGTGTGGAGTAGCCAGGAGGCTGGGGCCGGAGGGGGAGCTGGCGGGGTGGCCATGGGGCCCCCTGTGCCCGACAGAGCTGGCTCCGAAGAGTTTCAGGGGCTGGTGGGGAGGTGGTGGCTGCACCTGGAGGGGGTCAAGGCTCAGGCGGGGTGTGGGCGTGCAGGATCCCTGGTTGTGTCTGTAGCTTGGGTGCCTCGGTTTCTTAGGTCTGAGAGGCCAGAGCTGCCAGGTAGGCTTGTAGGGTAGAGGTGGACAGCTGGGTTTACAGTGGCTTTGGCTACCTGTGAGGTGCTGGGGCAGGCCCTGGAGTTGGAGCTCAGTGTGGGAGAAGGTCTGGGGTGGGGGGTGGTCCCTGTGAAGGTGGTGTTCGCAGCCGCCAGGCTGGAGGAATAAGCACAGAGAGGCACACCCAGTGACGAAGTCGGGGGACGGGGGAGCAAACGAGGGTGGACATTGAGGGAGGAGGGAGGAGGCCTGGGGGAGGGGCCTCAGGGTGGGGGATGAGTTCTCTGGGGAGGGCCCTCTCATGACCATGAGCTCAGCCTCCCAGGGCCATGGGGGCCAGACCAGCAGGGCAGGGGCAGGAAGTCAACCAGAGGGTTAAATCTGGAGCCAGAGCTGCGGGGGACCCTCTCTGGGGTGGCTGTAGTGTCTTGTTTACGTTCGCTTGTGGACATGAGAGACACGTGTGTGAGTGCCATCAGGTCCGATCCAAGAAGTTTCTTTTTTTTCTTTTTTTGAGACGGAGTCTCGCTCTGTTGCCCAGGCTGGAGTGCAGTGGCCACATCTCAGCTCACCGCAAGCTCCGCCTCCCGGGTTCACGCCATTCTCCTGCCTCAGCCTCCCGAGTAGCTGGGACTACAGGCGCCCGCCATCTCGCCCGGCTAGTTTTTTGTATTTTTTTTTTAGTAGAGACGGGGTTTCACTGGGTTAGCCAGGATGGTCTCGATCTCCTGACCTCGTGATCCGCCCGTCTCGGCCTCCCAAAGTGCTGGGATTACAGGCTTGAGCCACCGCGCCCGGCCCCAAGAAGTTTCTCGTAAAGTGCTGACCGAGGGCCTCCAGGTACCCCAGACAGGGTGGGCCTCTTGGGTGCCCATGAGGAAGAAAATGGACGGTCCAGCTACTGGAGGATCCTCAGAGTGATCAGACCCTTAGGGAGGCTGACTTTGGAGATCGAGTCACAGAGCTCAGCCCCTTAATTTCTGACCTTTTGTTAGAGATTTCCTTGCCTCCCTGTTCCTGGCTCAGACCAGACAGTCCTGAGACAGAAGACCCTTGACTATTCCATCCCTAATGTGGAATGCAAAATATACCCTCACCCCTACCAAAAAAGAAATGCTGCCTGTAGTCAATCGAATTGCTGTAACTGTGCCCCAGCCCTGTATAGAAAATGATGTGATCTTGTTACATTTCCACAGACTGTGCCTATACAAATGGCCCTTAAACCTCCCCACTTTGGGGCAATGACCCCATCCCTTTGAAGTCTGTGTCCTCCCAGGTGGCCATCCCCAGACTTTGTGCTCAAGTGAACTCAATATTTAACCATATCGCCTGAATCTCAGCATTAAGGTCGATAGCCCAGCTCCCAACCCACGCCTCCACTCCCGCCCCACTCCTAGCCTTGGCCTCCCACCCCTGGACTCATCTCCAGCCCCCACCCCAGTCACAGCCCCCAGCCCCTGGACTCAGTCCCCAACCCCAGCCCCAGCCCCAGTCCCAGCCCTGGCCCCTGGCCCCCTGGCCCCCAGCCCCTGGACTCAGCCCCTGGCTCTCACCCCAGCCCCTGACCCCTGCCCCTAGCTGTGCCCCTGAGCCGGGCAGGCCCTGTGGCCCCCATCTTCCCACCTCTGCTCTTCAGCGCCTGCCTCCACAGGATCCTCCCTATCACATCAGTCCACGCACGCTTGACCTCTGCCGAGCTTGCTTGGAGAATGTAGGTGTCCTGAGATTTCCGCCGCCTGCGAAACCAAATCTCAAACCTCGAGCCACTGTCCCCGACGTTCTCTGTCATCCCGATCTCGGCCGTCTGCAGTCAGCAAACACCGTGGCAGCACCATCAGGAACACAGATCTCTGAACGACTGGCTACCCCAATTCCTCAGGGCTGGCGGTCACGTCACCCAGACACCAAATGACAAACGTGTGGGATGCCTCAGGGTGGGCAAAACCTCACTGCTCACTACTGTGTGAGGCTGCCTGTGAGCGTGCAAGGGAGAGTGCGTGTGCAGGACAGCTGCCCATGAGTGTGCAAGGCTATGCACGAGTGTGGGAGGCTGCTTGTGTGTGAGCCCATGCACCCTCATGGCCTCTGTCAAGAAGGGAGGGACCTGGCCTCCCTCAGCACAGCCGAGTCACAAGCGGAAACCTGCCCACCATGGCGCATCAGCAACGCCCTCTCTGTGCACCTCCGAGAGCCAGGGGAAGGCCCGTCCCTGTGCCCGTGTTCATCCTCTCTGTGCACCTCCCAGAGCCAGGGGAAGGCCGGTCCCTGTGCCCGTGTCATCCTCTCTGTGCACCTCCGAGAGCCAGGGGAAGGCCCGTCCCTGTGCCCGTGTTCACCCTCTCTGTGCACCTCCCAGAGCCAGGGGAAGGCCCGTCCCGTGTTCAACTCTGTACAGAATCCACAATGCAGTTTCTGACTGAGGAGACACTTGTTTCTCAGCCCTTGGACTGGACATGGGACTGGAGAAGACACACGTCTCCTTGCCGATTTCGGGGCTAACGTTTTCAAGAATTTACCCAAGAACCACAGAAATCAAAACATCGCAGTTCGGCTCCTCCCAGCTTCACTCCCTCCCAGTTCCTCTGCTCGCCTCAGGTGAGACAGGGTCCGAGACCCCCTGGGAGGGCCTGGCTCAGCCTGCGCCCGATCGGACCAGGCGGGTGCTACCTTGAAAGACTGCTTGTACAGGTAGACGTCGTGGCCGCCCTCCACCTTCTGGGTCTTGCTGAACAGGATGAGGTCTTCAAAGAGGAACACGTGCCTCAGATACTTCTTCCTCCCGCAGCAAATGATAAACTCATCTTGGCATTTCAGCTGCCCCTGTTCCTTCAAATTCACCTGCAGAGGAACAGCCAAGGGGCTGGCCTTGGCTCATTCACACGGGCCCACGGCCGCTCACGCACACACTGCTGCCTGCGACCGGCCGTGTGGGTCTCGCCAGACCCTGCCGTGGGGGTTGTGCAGCTCAGTGTAGTGAAGGCTGCCCCGGCTGCCCCCAACCCCAGATGCCCCAAAGGCCATGGGTGAGCTGGGAAATGGCTGGTGCGTGGGGGCGCCGGCTCCACTCCGGCAGGCTGCCGTGTCCCCGGGCCTGGGATGGGCAACACCCCAGTGGCAGAGCAGGGCGTGGAGGGTGGGGCCTCACATCGGCTGGAGAAGGCAGGCCCATCTCGGGCCCCAACACCCATGGAATCGGGGCTTGACCCTAGTGCCTTCCCACAGAGGGCTGGGGTGCGGCGCCCACATCCACCTGTTTTCAATGCAGCCCAGGTAAGCAGACTCCCAGTCACTCAGAGCCTGCTTCGCATGTCCTGTGCAACTGCAGCCAACATCTGCCAGCCATTGTCAAACCCCGGGGCTCCACGGGCCTCAGGCCTTGCTGCTCCCTGACATTGCCCAGACAGGTAAGACCCTCCTCCCCGTGGCCTCCACTGCAGCCTCCAGAAGGCTTTGACGGGCTTCTCCGGGGCAAATCTGCCAGCACATCACCAAGAAAATGATGCTGCTGGGCCAAGACTTTCTCACCAGCGGCCTCCAATTCCCCCAGCTAGCCACTTACGTCACAGCCGCGGATGGCGTCCATGGCCAGCAGGTCATTGCCGTGGCGCAGCTGGAAGCAGACCACGACCTCGGCGGCTCGGAGCTCACCCAGCTCCTGCCCCTGGGCCGGGCCGCGACCGGCCTCCTTGAGCAGGTCCTGGAGCAGCAGCGCGTACTTGGCCACGCGCTGCACGGGCCGCAGCAGGTAGGAGGCCAGGTCCATCTTGTCACCCAGCTCCCGCTGCTTGTCCTGCAAGGGCCAGGGGGAGAGGGTCAGCTCCGGCCTGGCTGAGGGCCGGGCAGCTGCGGGGGGTGGGCCGAGGGGATGACCTTGAAGAAGGCATTGCCGTGGCTGCTGAGCAGGGCGTCCGACTGTGGCTTGTTCTTGCTGTAGACCACGTACATCCCAAACTGCTCTTCCTGGAAAGCAGAGGCAACTGCTTGGCTGTGGGGGTGACAGGCCCGGAGACGGCTCTTACAGCCTGGGTCAGACTTGGGAGTGACAGGCCCGGAGATGGCTCTTACAGCCCGGGTCAGACTTGGGGGTGACAGGCCCGGAGACGGCAGGCTCTTACAGCCCAGGTCAGACTTGGGGGTGACAGGCCCGGAGGCGGCAGGCTCCTACAGCCCGGGTCAGACTTGGGGGTGACAGGCCCGGAGACAGCTCCTACAGCCAGGTCAGACTTGGGAGTGACAGGCCGGAGACGGCAGGTTCCTACAGCCGGGTCAGACTGGGGGTGACAGGCCGGGGCGGCAGGCTCTACGCCGGGTCAGACTTGGGGGTGACAGGCCCGGAGGCGGCAGGCTCCTACAGCCCGGGTCAGACTTGGGAGTGACAGGCCCGGAGACGGCTCCTACAGCCCGGGTCAGACTTGGGAGTGACAGGCCCGGAGACGGCTCCTACAGCCCGGGTCAGACTTGGGGGTGACAGGCCCGGAGGCGGCAGGCTCCTACAGCCCGGGTCAGACTTGGGGGTGACAGGCCCGGAGGCGGCTCCTACAGCCCGGGTCAGACTTGGGGGGCAGGCGGGGGGAGGCCCGGGGCGGGGGGACAGGCCGGAGGCGGCAGGCTCCTACAGCCCGGGTCAGACTTGGGAGTGACAGGCCCGGAGACGGCTCCTACAGCCCGGGTCAGACTTGGGAGTGACAGGCCCGGAGACGGCTCCTACAGCCCGGGTCAGACTTGGTCCCGTCCCAAGACCCTCCAGGTGCGGTTCGTACCATGACCAGGTGACAGGGAGACTCAGCCCTTCATTACAGACTATCGCAGTGTCCCCAGCAAGGGGGCCCCAGAGGTGACCAGTTTACCAGCTGCAACCTCAATGCTGAGAATTCTGTAATTTGTCTTTAAAACACAGACTCCAGGGGGTTGAGGGGGGAAGAGGATACAGCTGGCAGTGGGCCTGGGAGGGCGTGGGGGGCAGTGGAACGATTTGGTCAATGGCCAAGAGCTAAAGCTGTCAAGACATTTAAAATTGCCACAATTATGGTCAATATGAATCTGTACTTTATGTCTAAAAGCACCTTTTAAGAAAATGCTGAGGCCGGGCATGGTGGCTCACGCCTGTAATCCTAGCACTTTGGGAGGCCGAGGCGGGCAGATCACAAGGTCTGGAGTTCAAGACCAGCCTGGCCAGCATGGTGAAACCCCCATCTCTACTAAAAATACAAAAATTAGCCAGGCCCGGTGGCGCGCACCTGTAGTCCCCGTTACTAAAGAGGCTGAGGCAGGAGAATCACCTGAACGCGGGAGGCGGAGGCTGCCGTGAGCTGTGATTGTGCCACAGCACTCCAGCCTGCGCGACAGAGCGAGACTCCATATCAAAGGGGAAAAAAAAAGAAAGAACACTGAAAAGATGGAACATGAGCTTCTTTTGTCCACGGCTGTTTTCGTTGTGGTAATTTGTGCTCAATGGTCTGGGACACACGTCCCATCTGCCCACAGCTCTCAGCACTGGTTGAAAGCCTGTCAGTTTCCTTCCAGAGTAAATTAAAAACTTTATTAAAGACTCTCATGCAGAGAGATTCCACGTTCATCATTGAGAAGCGACTTACGAGGAGAGACCACTGAGCCTGTCCATTCAACGTGCTTCCAGTTGAAAGCCTCGCAGGGGATTTTCAGAACGGGACAGGCTGGTCCCTCTGGCAGGTAACGGGGCACCCAGGGGCAGGGGGCCTGCGAAGGGGTGAGGCCTGGCCCCTCCCCAGAAGGTGATTCTGGGAACTGCTTCCGGCCTATCAGCCAGAAGTGGTAAAGGAGCAGGCTGCTGGCGGAACAGGTATGATGGTGTCCGCGGAGCCCCCGCCTCCAGGGGCAGCAGGGAGGCAGTTGGTCACACCACCTGCAAAGCACCGGGCACTGGAGACCCACAGGTTATCCATGCGGGGCGTCTGTTTGTCGGCTGGTCTAATCATCCCGTCAGGACCAGCTCCCAGGCCTGGGCTGAAGCTACTCCAACTGCCTGACACGTGGGCGCTGTAGACCCCGCCTCCCCGACACCGGCTTCGCCCACCACGTCACCCGTCGTCCACGCCACGGCCTGCACTCACGTGTCTCAGGAAACTGCGGCCCACGGCCAAGGGGCAGTGCCGGCAGCGCTCCAGCTCCCGGAGGAAGTGCTGCTGGTGGAAGTCGTGGAGCTTCTCCAAGTTGCCGAAAATAACGTGGTGCTTCCCCCGAAGGCCCTGGGGCAGGTCCATTCTCTCCATTTCCGGAAAATAGTTGTCGATGACGTATCCTAAGCACCGGACGTACTCCCTCTCCGTGGCGATCATCTCGGCCATGATGTGCCTCAGTCGGCTGCTGGAAGACAGAGAGATCCCGGGGGCACGTGGCCCCCCACGGACACGTTATTAAAAGCAATTCATGCCTGAGACAGAAACACATGGAGACCCAGAGGCACGAGCACGGTCACACGTGGACCGGAGGCACATGGGCACATGTGGGATTCACAATAAAGACACTTCTGGCCGGACGTGGTGGCTCACGCCTGTAATTCCAGCACTTTGGGAGACTGAGGTGGGTGGATCCCGAGGTCAAGAGATAGAGACAGCCTGGCCAACATGGTGAAACATCATCTCTACTAAAAATACAAAAATTAGCTGGGGGAGGTGGCACGCACCTGTAGTCCCAGCTACTTGGGAAGCTGAGGCAGGAGAATCACTTGAACCCGGGAGGTGGAGGTTGCAGTGAGGCGAGACTGAGCCACTGCACTCCAGCCTGGCAACAGAGTGAGACTCTGTCTCAAAAAAAAAAAAAGAAACTTCCAGCCGACCGCACGTCCTCAGCAGGGAGTGACTCACCTGCACCCGGCTCATTCTCTCCCTGTTAACTGGAGCGGCTCCCCTGATACACAGTAACTTGAAAAGATAAGGACAATATTTCAGAAAGAAGCTTGTCACGTGAAACATTTCCATATGTTTCAGAGGAAAGATCCCCTTGGAAACCAAGACAGAGATTCCCAGGCTCCCTAACGGAAACTCTGAACGTAACGTTTCTCGTTCCAGCCGGTTTGATTCTAGCGGTAACACGACTCAAACACTTCCAGCAGCAGCGCTTCTGCAAGGAAGGCTGTGGTGGAAATTTCGTGAGAAAACAGCTTTCGGATCCACGCCCACTGCTGACCGGCCAGGAGATTTTCCTGAGTCGGCTTCCACGGCAGTCACTCCTGACCCAAGGGGCTCAGCACCTTACACAGCAGCTTCAGGGGGACTCGGGGGCTGCAGCGGCCGGAGAGCAAGGCTGGGGGCGCAGGACGGCCCAGAGGTGGACAACAGCAGGCTAGGCCCCAGGGATGGTCGTCCACGGAACCCCCTGCCCCACCCTCGGCTGGGGTCTCCCTGCCTTGAATGAGGGTCCTGCGGAGGGGCCGCCGAGCAGGCTTTGTAGGGGCTCCCGTGAGGGGCGGGCCTCCGATGCACTGCTGAGTCTTCGAAGAACCCGTCCTGACAACACACGTCTGTGGGAGACGTGGGCTTCTCCGCAGCTGCCCGGAGTCTCACCACCTCTGTATCCTCAGGGCTGGGCAGGACCCGGAGGACCCACTCGTGTTGCCCCGAGAGAGTGGAGAGGTGGGCTGGCCGGTGTGGTCAGCTTGGCCGGGGGGGTCCTCGCATGCAAAACTGCGGTGGTGCGATCACAGAGGCCCAAACCGGGCTTCCCAAATCAGGTGCTATTCTTTTGTGTATTTTTCTTTTTTTTTACCACTAAAAACATGCTAAGCATCCAAAAACACTTTTACATTCACCGTAAACAAATGCAGGGCGCTTAGGCTGGTGGCTCGGTTTCATGAGCTGGCTGGAGCGTGGCCACCTGGTCGCTCTCGGCAACTGAGCCTGGAGGGCAGGGCCCACACTCCGGCAGCGTGAATGCCAAAGCCTGGCCTGGGCTGTGGGACTCCCCGGGAGAAGGTTCTCTGGGTTCTGCTGGGGTGGGGTCTGGCATGTCCCACAGCTCTGCAGCTCTGACCACCCATCAACTGCACTTGCAAAGGGCCACTGGTGACCCGGGGGCCCTTCCCTAATAAATAGTGAGGTACACGGCTTTTCTGCTCTACTCGATAGCATCTTACCCCCAACCTTCTTAAATAATTCGATCCTAATGATACCAATGGGAGTTGGAAGATTATTTTTCTACCATTATTTGTATTGACTTGTTTTTTAAGTTGGAAAAAGTTAAAAGCAGCTAATGATGGGAAGCACAGCTGTGGGCAGACGTGCTGCTGAACGCACATTCCATTCACAGCAGAGCTGCAGAACTTGTCCCCTTCACTCCTGCATCACAGATCTGACAGATTCTCACTGTTTCTGAGAACACAGCACCTCCCGGCTGGTCAGGAACTGGCCCTCACAGCACGGGCGGGAAGGCGGAGGCCCGATGTCGTGACCCACACAAAAGCCTCCTCAGTAAATATCCAGAAACAAAATCAGAACGAGGATGGTCTTGATTTGGTCTTGACCAAATGGACAATGTACTCACTAGGCAGCAACAGCTGGAAATCACACAGGGGTGGGCGGGGGTCCCCCCTCCTGTGTTCTGCTGCCTCCCAAACCTGAAACATGGGCTCAGTGGAGACAGAAGCGTCAGTGCAGCCACCTGCTGAGACTCAGGGACAGCGCTCGGCGTTCCTCTTACCGATTCGGAAGGGCCAGCCTGTACTCAGGCCCAGCCGGCAGATATCCCTGGATCACTCACACCGATGGTAAAAACCAGAACTTCATGTTCTACCTGGAGTTTTACCTTAACAAGGTAAGACTGAGGTTTGGCACCTAAAGGTGTGTTTCAGAAGAGTGTTCTGTGGCCTTCTCCGTTCAGATTAAACCTGCGATCAGGGCATGAGGAGGAAACCCCTTCTATGGAGCTTAAGGCAGAGGCCCCCAACCCCCGGGGCCACCGACTGGTGCCCGTCTGCGGCCTGTCGGAACCAGGCCGCCCAGCAGCAGGTGAGCGGCAGGCAGCGAGTTACCAGCTGAGCTCCGCCTCCTGTCGGCTCAGCGGCCGCCGTGGGGTCTCGGAGGGGCACGGACTCCGCCCCCTGTCGGCTCAGCGGCCGCCGTGGGGTCTCGGAGGGGCACGGACTCCGCCCCCTGTCGGCTCAGCGGCCGCCGTGGGGGTCTCGGAGGGGCACGGACTCCGCCCCCTGTCGGCTCAGCGGCCGCCGTGGGGTCTCGGAGGAGCAGGGACGCTGCTGCACGCGGGAGGCGTCTAGGTTTCGTGCTCCTTATGAGAATGTAAAGCCTGATGGGCTGAAGTGGAGCAGTTTCATCCCAAAACCATCCCCCCAACCCCTGCGGTCTGTGGAAAAATTGTCTTCCATGAAACCTGTCCCTGGTGCCAAAAAGGTTGGAGATTGTTGACCCAAGACGCAGAAGCCAACCAAATGACAAAGCATCTCCACCTCCGGTCCTCACGGCCACACCACGTGGGCGGAAGATGGAGGTTCAGACGGCGTCCGGCCTAGGCAGGGGCCGAGCGCACCCACCCTTACCTGTGAGTGGACGCGTCCTTTGCAGGCTCGACAAGTGACAAGGAGCCTCTTCAGTGAGGCCATGGACGCGCGGGTGCGCCTCGTGCCCTAACGCTTAGAGACTTTCTAAAACGTATTTTTAAGGTAACTCTTCTTGGTATCGGGGGTTGATTTGCTGCCTGTAATTTTCTGTAAGTGGGCTGAAAATAGCTAGAGTTGGTCACACGGTTACTTAACCATCAGAGTGAGTGTGTGCGGGTTAACACACACCATCCAGGCAGTTTTCAGTGGTCCCTTCTGAACATGGGGGCAGGTAACTCATATCTAGTTTAAAATTGGGTTTCTTCTTGGACCGGGCAGGTGGACCCAGAGGGATGTCTGTGGATTTACTTTCTACTTTGCAGAAGAGAGTTTAATGCCAAAATGGCTTTGGGTTTCTAGATACCCAAGGGCTGCTAGGACGAGAGGAGGGGGATGTCCACCTTACCTGCCCACCTGCCGCTTCCCGTCCTCCTCAGCAGGGTGGAGCCCCGAGGGAGAGGACAGACTCCGGCTCCAAGTGACCGGGGGGCTCCTGGCCTGCGGCTGCAGCAGGAGCTTCTTCTCTGTGACCACAGTGCTGGTTACCTCCAGGCCCTTGCTGAAGACACTGGTATGGCCTGGCTGGCAGGAGTCCCTGGGGCCACTGTCGGGCTGAGGTATCTCGAAACTTTGCATTTTCTTTACCATTTTCTTCTGGGGATGTTTCCTGGGGCGGCTGGCCAGGGTCTGGGTGGGCTCAGAGGAGCAGGCAGAGCTGTCCTCCGGGTGGGCCGTGGTGGCCACTGTCCCTGAAAGGCCCCCGAGGGGGGACACTGGGTCCCACGGAGCACACAGCCCTGGGCCCAGGGGCTCCCCGTCCTGTCCACACAGAAGTGCTCGTCCAGGGAGGCCAGGTTCCCAGGCACCATCCTCAGTGTCCGTGCTGGGAACTGAGGGTGGCTTATGGGGCCTCCTCATGGCCTCCTGAGCACACTCATGCTTTGGGGGGCTCTGGGCAAGGGGTGGTAAGCTGGGGCCTGGGGCGGCCTCAGAAAGGGCGTCTTCCAGCTGGAGCCGGGTCTGAGGGCACTGCAGCCCCAGGTCTTGCTGTGATGCCCACGGTCTCCCCAGGGTTTGAGGCTTCAGCGCTGCCACACCTGCCCCGGGGAAGGCCTCTGCAGCCACCGAGGCAGCCTCCTGGTGACAGCTCCTCAAACACTCAGCCACGGGTGAGGAGGGATAAGCCTCCAGGTCCGGGGGCCCCATCCAGCTGCTCGCCTGTGGGACAAGGACAGCTCTGCTCAGTGCAGGGGAGGAGGGGCCGCCCCAGAGCCAGCTCAGGCACTGCTGTTCCCAGGTCAGCCTAGTCAGGGACAGGGGACCAGACGGCCGAGGTAGAGGCAGCCCCGCCAGCCAGTGGGGCTGTGGCCGGGTTCAACCGAAGGGCAGGTGGGCTGTATCTGACCCCACGGGGTCTGTTCTCCACGCCAGAGGGCACCATGGGGGATGTCCTAGGACCACGTGAAGACACCGTGTAGGTGCCACATCCTGTGAGCTGAGAGAGGCATGACGCGGCAGACGGCTCTACCCTGCTCTGGTCACCCCATGACCCCCTCAAATGCTGTCTTGACAGGTGAGCTCCTAATGGCGTGCGGTCCCGGGCGCGGGGGAGCTTGCAGGCCTGCAATCTGCTGCAGCCCTTGTTTGGGGTTTTGGGCAGTCAGTGGAATTTTGTAACTGAGCCACTAAACACACAGAGAAATGTGTGTGTGAATTTGGCTGGTCTGTTTGGCACAATATCGAATGCTTCACAGGTCAACTCAGAGCCTTCTCCAGAGAGCTGTGGGTGCAGTGGCCAGGGGCTCCATCGCAGGCGCCCGGCCTCTGTCCCAGAGCCTGGCCCACCCTCTCCAACTTGTGTGGGGAGGCGTAAATGCCCACAGCCTAAGGAGCTGGGATCCCTGGGACGCACACCCACTGGGTCTCTTACCGTCTCGCACAACTCGGATGGGCGGGTCCACCTGGCCAGCTCTCCCTCCCTGTACTCAGCCTGGCTGACCACGGCGCTCAGGCCCCTTCTGAAATCCTGGACCATTTCCTCTGTATGATGCGGGTTCTCCTTCACCAGTTGCAGTCCTTTCTGGCAGGATTGCTGCACCCAAGGAACACATTATCAGTACAAGCCCGGCGCTTCCACGTTCGTGTCTCCAGGCGGGGGCTGGGTCTGCGTGTAGCCACCAACACCAAGGCTGGGACGGCCCACAGTGCTGCCTGCCGCTGCCTCCCGTTCTCAAGAGCAGGCACCAAAGGACCGAGGAATTTCTCTAGTTCTTTTCCAAACCGTGATTTGATCTACACAGGGGAAGAACATTTATATTTAAACACATGAAGGAGTCACACTCTAGGATTTAGCAGGACCCAGGGAGGGATGTGTCTTGGTCCTGTCCTGAGTACACGCTGCACAGGGCTGACGGCCTGGCTGCGTAACCCCTGTGAATGGACACAACTGATGAGAGGTGGTCACAGTCCTCTGAGGCTCAAGCTCCAGGCTATTTTCATTGTTTGGAAATGGACATTAAAATCATTGAACAATAGACCCAGGACTTTCCACTTTGAAACTGGTTAATATGGTAAACATATTCCAGAAATATTCTTCAGGCAAGTGGCTGCTTAGCCCCTTGAGGCTGCCTGGGAAAGACGGGGGAGCCCTTGGCTGAGCCCTGCTGGGCAGAGCGCCTGTGGCTACGCACCCTGGTGACAAGACCAAGGTTCTTATTTTGGAGGCGTTTACCGCTGGACTCAGTGGAAATGTCAGAGGTAAGCCCTTCATGTTGTCATTAAACAGCAACACCAGGGGCGACTGGGGGTCAGATGCCCAGAGATGAGAGGCCTGTTGTGGAGAAGAGAACAGCTGGCCGGATCCATAACCATCAGAAAGGTACCCAATGACCCCAGACATGCAGCAGAGAAGAGACAGACCAGTGCGTACGCTGTCTTTAAACAGAGCCAGAGTCAAGAAGAGAATCACAGCACCTTGATTCTTAGGAGCATGGGCGGAGCCTTGGAGCTGCCAGGTGAGGGGCAGGTGCGGCATCGGCAGAGCCGAGTGGGGGTGGCGCAGAGCCAGAGCCCAGCCTCCAACCTTGCAGGAAAATCGGCTGTCACTGGTTTCAAGATTTAGATACAAAAATTCAAGTTGTAAAGGTTCTATGATGAAATATACTAATAATTCTATAACCTTAGAGTAGAAAGGGTTGTTTAAAAGATAAGCAAAGCTAGAGGACAAATGAAAAACTGGGAAAACAAGTGGAACGTGAAGGATCCGTATAACACAGACAGAAGTGAGGATCAACCCTAGAAAAACTGTCTAAAGCATGAACAAGTGATTCACTACAGAAATAAAAATAATAAATGTGTGAAGAGAATGTCCAGCTGTAGCATAGAAAATCTGAGGGCACACTGCTGAGGGGCTCCATTTCCCCGCGGGGTGGCCGGCAGGAGGCAGGTGCGGCTGGAGTGCCACGGCCCATGCATGGAAACCTCCAAAGACGAATGGCCTGACCCAGCCATCCGAGCCTAGGAATGTATCCAGAGTCAACACCCACGGGCTGTGAAGGAAGCAGAGACACAGAGATGTTCAACACGGGGACGCTTCTAACGGCAGAGAGGGAGGAGCCCAGGACCATCAGTGCGAACACGGCTCGGGGACCCAGCTTGCAGCGCACGCCCACGCACAGGGTGCCGAGGCCGCCACATGCATCATCCCGTGTGTGAAAATCTATTTGTTTCTAATTTTCCCACAGTGTGCACGCACTTCTTAGGTTAAATATATAGAGACAGACGTGCACCTGTACGTAGCTTGACCCCTATCCGGTCACGTGTAGAGTCTCTGTGAAGACGGCAGAGCGAGATATGTGTCCTCTTGAGACACCACCAAAGCCCTGCCAGCATCTTCCAAGGTGTGTGACCCTCAGCACAGTGGGCAGAGAGCAGCCAGGGCACAAACCTGGAGCCAGGAAGGAGGCGGGACTGGCAGGGCCTGAGGAGAGCAGAGGTGAAGTCCCAAGACTCCACGGGACGGCGTGAGGGAGTGTGGGAGGGAAGGAGCCGGGGTGCCTGCTCCACAGGGCCCGGGGTCTGTTCCCGGGTTGGGGTGATCCAGGCAGTGCAGCAGGTGAACACTGAGCTGTGGCCAGGCACCCGCTTCAGGCCGGGATTAGAGGAAAAGAATCAGATCACCAGGGAGAAAATGCTACAGACATGTGGGCCACAGGCCTCCTAACCAGGGGGGCCAGGAAAGCCTCTGGTACCAGAACACACCGCAGAAGCCACAGGCCGTGCACTCGTCACGATTAGCACAGAGAGGGGATCGTTCAGAAAACAAACAAGCCCGTGGAGTTAAAAAGCAAGAGCAGAAACAAAAAATAATAGAGTTAGAGGGTAAAGCCGAGAACGTCTGCCTTACAAGGACAGCACACAGCTGGCGGTGGGGAGAACTGAGGCGACAGGACAGAAAACTCCAGGACCAGATTGAAGTGTGGAGCCGTGGGAAACGCAAGCGCCACAAAGGACGAAGGACGTGTCACAGAATTCCCAGAAGAGAGGAGCGCGGTGCAGACGCAAAGAGCACACCTGTCCTCAGCGCACCTGCCCTCAGCGCACCTGCCCTCAGCGCACCTGTTCTCAGCGCACCTGCCCTCAGCGCACCTGCCCTCAGCGCACCTGCCCTCAGCGCACCTGTCCTCAGCGCACCTGCCCTCAGCGCACCTGTTCTCAGCGCACCTGCCCTCAGCGCACCTGCCCTCAGCGCACCTGCTCAGCGCACCTGTCCTCAGCGCACCTGCCCTCAGCGCACCTGCCTCCCTCCAGCGCACCTGCCCTCAGCGCACCTGCCTCATGCACCTGCCTCAGCGCACCTGCCTCCCCTCCCAGCGCACCTGTCCTCAGCGCACCTGCCCTCAGCGCACCTGTTCTCAGCGCACCTGCCCTCAGCGCACCTGCCCTCAGCGCACCTGCCCTCAGCGCACCTGCCCTCATCGCACCTGCCCTCAGCGCACCTGCCCTCAGCGCACCTGCCCTCAGCGCACCTGTCCTCAGCGCACCTGCCCTCAGCGCACCTGTCCTCAGCGCACCTGCCCTCAGCGCACCTGCCCTCAGCGCACCTGCCCTCAGCGCACCTGCCCTCAGCGCACCTGCCCTCAGCGCACCTGGGCGACCCTCAGATTCCAGAGCCCCGAGGACGACAGGAAAGTCTGCAGCTTCCAGCGAGAAGCAGGGCGCAGGCGGAAGGCCGGGAGTGGGACGGAGGCTAAGCTCGGGTGCAGGGCCTTCCAGCTGGCGAAGGGAAACTGAAGTGACTGCTGGCCGTGAAGGTGGAGTAGAGACACTTTTAGGTACCACGGCCTCAAAAATGCTCATCCCAAGATCCCGTTCTCTGGGAAGTCCTGGAAGTTATTCTGCATAAAACACCAAAGTAAATGAAAAAAGAGGAAGACGTGGGTACAGGAAATAGGAGACCCCACAGGACGGGGCAGAGTGGGGAGGGAGATGGAGGAGACCCCAGGACAGGCAGAGGGAGGAGGGGAGATGGGGGAAACCCCCCAGGACAGGCAGAGGGAGGAGGAGGAGAGGGAGGGAGATCCCCCAGGAAGGAGGGGGGGGGGAGGGGAGGGGGCGAGGGGAGGGGGGGGGGAGACCCCAGGAGGAGTAGAATGAGGAGGGGAAGACGAAGGAGACCCTCAGGACAGGCAGAGGGAGGAGGGGAAGACGAAGGAGACCCTCAGGACAGGCAGAGGGAGGAGGGGGAGATGGGGGAGAACCCCCAGGACGAGCAGAGGGAGGAGCGGAAGATGAAGGAAACCCTCAGGACAGGCAGAGGGAGGAGGGGGAGATGGAGGGAGACCCCCCAGGACAGGCAGAGGGAGGAGGGGGAGATGGAGGGAGACCCCCAAGGACAGGCAGAGGGAGGAGGGGGAGATGGAGGGAGACCCCCAGGACAGGCAGAGGGAGGAGGGGGAGATGGAGGGAGACCCCCAGGACAGGCAGAGGGAGGAGGGGGAGATGGAGGGAGACCCCCAGGACAGGCAGAGGGAGGAGGGGGAGATGGAGGGAGACCCCCCAGGACAGGCAGAGGGAGGGGGGAGATGGAGGGAGACCCCCAGGACAGGCAGAGGGAGGGGGGGAGATGGAGGGAGACCCCCCAGGACAGGCAGAGGGAGGAGGGGGAGATGGAGGGAGACCCCAGGACAGGCAGAGGGAGGAGGGGGAGATGGAGGGAGACCCCCCAGGACAGGCAGAGGGAGGAGGGGGAGATGGAGGAGACCCCCCAGGACAGGCAGAGGGAGGGAGGGGGAGATGGGGGACCCCCAGGACGGCAGAGGGAGGAGGGGAGATGGAGGAGACCCCCAGGACAGGCAGAGGGAGGAGGGGGAGATGGAGGGAGACCCCCAGGACAGGCAGAGGGAGGAGGGGGAGATGGAGGAGACCCCCCAGGACAGGCAGAGGGAGGAGGGGGAGATGGAGGGAGACCCCCAGGACAGGCAGAGGGAGGAGGGGGAGATGGAGGGAGACCCCCCAGGACAGGCAGAGGGAGGAGGGGAAGATGGGGGAGAACCCCCAGGACGAGCAGAGGGAAGAGGGGGAGACAGGGGAAGACCCCCAGTATGGGCAGAGGGAGGAGGAGGAGATGGAGGGAGACCCCCCAGGACAGGCAGAGGGAGGAGGGGGAGATGGAGGGAGACCCCCCAGGACAGGCAGAGGGAGGAGGGGGAGATGGAGGGAGACCCCCCAGGACAGGCAGAGGGAGGAGGGGGAGATGGAGGAGACCCCCAGGACAGGCAGAGGGAGGAGGGGAAGATGGGGGAGAACCCCCAGGACGAGCAGAGGGAAGAGGGGGAGAAGGGGAGACCCCCAGAGGCAGAGGGAGGAGGGGGAGATGGAGGGAGACCCCCCAGGACAGGCAGAGGGAGGAGGGGGAGATGGAGGGAGACCCCCAGGACAGGCAGAGGGAGGAGGGGGAGATGGAGGGAGACCCCCAGGACAGGCAGAGGGAGGAGGGGGAGATGGAGGGAGACCCCCAGGACAGGCAGAGGGAGGAGGGGGAGATGGAGGGAGACCCCCCAGGACAGGCAGAGGGAGGAGGGGGAGATGGAGGGAGACCCCCAGGACAGGCAGAGGGAGGAGGGGGAGATGGAGGGAGACCCCCCAGGACAGAGGGAGGAGGGGGAGATGGAGGGAGACCCCCAGGACAGAGGGAGGAGGGGGAGATGGAGGGAGACCCCAGGACAGAGGGAGGAGGGGGAGATGGAGGGAGACCCCCAGGACAGAGGGAGGAGGGGGAGATGGAGGGAGACCCCCAGGACAGAGGGAGGAGGGGGAGATGGAGGGAGACCCCCAGGACAGGCAGAGGGAGGAGGGGGAGATGGAGGGAGACCCCCCAGGACAGGCAGAGGGAGGAGGGGGAGATGGAGGGAGACCCCCAGGACAGGCAGAAGGAGGAGGGGGAGATGGAGGAGACCCCCCAGGACAGGCAGAGGGAGGAGGGGGAGATGGAGGGAGACCCCCAGGACAGGCAGAGGGAGGCGGGGGAGATGGAGGGAGACCCCCAGGACAGAGGGAGGAGGGGGAGATGGAGGGAGACCCCCAGGACAGAGGGAGGAGGGGGAGATGGAGGGAGACCCCCAGGACAGAGGGAGGGGGGGGAGATGGAGGGAGACCCCCAGGACAGACGGCACACAGACAGCCCGGACTGGCTGGTGGCTGCAGCTCTGCCTGACTCCACTTGCCTGGTGTGGGGTTCCTGCTCCCACCCCAGGGCTTGGACCAGCTGGGCCCTGGCCAACGCCTGGGAGCTGGGGTCAGTAGTGGGGAGGCCGGGAGCCAGCACGCCGCCTCACGTCCCTGCCGCACGTCCTTGTCTGGAGGCTCCCGTGAGGGCGAGCGCATGGATCTGAAGGCCAGGGGAGCTTGTCAGCAGACGGGAGGGCTGGGGATGCCTCCAGCCCCGCTGCACGCCTCTCCATGCTACCGGCTTTCACCCGCACATTCATTGCAGTAACAGTTGTTGATAAAATAATAAGGATTTATATAAAAATGTGCAAGTTTTGAAGAGTTTATATGCAACAAAACAGAGAAATGTTTTATCTGAGCGTGCGCCCCTTAAACTGTCAGGCCCAGAAGAGCACCAGAGTGAGGCAGCAGCGCTGTCCGTGCCCCCGAGCTAAGCAATCATTTTGCTGGCACCCCCCGAGTTAAGTAATCATTTTGCTGGCAGCCCCGAGCTAAGCAATCATTTCAGAGCCGCTGCTATATGGACCGCAGATTCTGCAGTGTGTCCACCAAGGGCCATCAGTAACCCCAGCCACGCTGCACACTGGACACCACAACTCACACCCTGTCATCCAGCAGCGCGTGGTCAACCCACCAATGCCATTTCTGTGACCCAGAGAATCATGAAAAGCCACCTCTGTCGTCACCCCTCCTGACTCGTCCTCTTTTCTTTAAACCTCGAGCCTCTCCGTGGCCTCCAGAGCCACTTCCTGAGGTCACCTGGAGGTTGTTTCCCGGCTGCCGTCCTCAGCCTCAGCCCAGACCCTCTCTACCTGTGCAGTTTCACCTCGGCTCCTCGGCCACCGTGTGCACACGCACGTGGAGAAAGCATCCGGAAGATGATACACCCAGCCATTCGCACCGGTCACATCAGAAGACACAGTGTGAAATTATTTTTCTCCTTGGCCTCCTCTGGATTAAACAAATTTTTTTCTCCACTGATCCAGTATCTCTCAGGTAAAAAATAAAATTTATTTCTTTTTACACAAGCAGCAAGGCATGCCCTATCCTGACGTATTTCGTTCCAGATGGAAATCAGGTCAAGGCCCTAAAGACGCAGCGTGAAGGTGGGAGGGTCGCCTTGGCCAGCCTGGCCTGGAGGGGACGCTGACCAGGCCGCCTTCTTCCTGCAGCTCTGACCTGGTCATTCCCGTCCTGGAGCGATGCCAGCTCCCGGAGGCGCTCCAGCTGCCGGAGACGACCGTTCGAGGCAAGGACCAGCCTGTGCACCTCCTCATCCACTCGGTCGTACAGGCTGGTGGCAGCCTCCAGGGTGTCCCTGAGGAAGAGGAGGCAGTCCTCAGGCTCCCAGGCGGCCCCTGGAGGAATCTGCTCTTGGTGACAACCCCAGGTAAAAACCCTGCTCTTTCCGTTCCCTCATGTCAGAAGGCAACGGGAGCCCCAGGAGGAGGCCCACAGCCCAGGCGGGACACAGACGTGCTGCACACGTTCTGCCAACATCCTGGCCGGCCTGGGATGCAGGCGTCTAGAGAGGACCCATAGCCTAGGCTGGACTGGCTGCGTGCAGCTGAGATACACGGGGACTGCTGGAGGTGGGCACAGCTACCCAGGCAGCACGGGTCAAGAACGAGCTCATTCTGGCGCACTCTGGCCACCTCCCACCGAGCGTCCCCAGAAGCCGGCTCCTTGATCTTTGGAGCCTGTAAATGTAGAAAAGCTCGGACCCAGGCAAAGCGTGGCTGTCAGAACGGAGGTCTGGACCCAGCACAGACAGGGCTCTCCTTGGAGCAGAGCGCTACGCCTCCTGGCTGCAGACTCCCCTGAGCAGCCGCCTTGATGGGCCAGGGCCCAGCATGGCCCCCGTGAGCGCTCACCGGCCATCTTCTGTGCCGAGTTCTTCTCTCCTCAGCCGTGCCAGGACGGTGCCCCCCTCCAGCCTGAGGGACACAAGCAGTGGGTTTTCCAGAACAAGCTTCATCATTGTCTCGTGCTGGTCAATTAACTCGGTGACTTCCTGCATGGGGTGGGGCGGAATACGCCTTTAACCCCCTCCTCCAAGGGGCAGGTCCTCCCAAGTGCAACAGTGGCAGGAATGTGGAGCGTGACCCACGTTCCTGTTTCCGTAAATCAAGCTGGTGGCACGACCGTGCCCACTCCTGAAGCTGATGGTCCAGACTGTCCCAGGGAGGGTGAGCCCCAGGGTAAGACCCCTGGGAGGGAGAAGAAGGGGGCTCAAAGCTCAATTGTAGGAGGTGAACCTGCCATTTAGACCAGGGACAGACATGCAGGCCTCACCCACAGACCCTGGGACCCTCGGCCTGGCGGCTGGGCTGTCAAGAGCCCTGTGGTCAGCCCGCCTCTGTCTTGTTGGAGTGACTCATTCCTGGCAGCCGCTGCTGCTCACGCCGCTGCACATCGTCAAGTGCAGTGACATGGTTTTCCTTCTGGGTACGGTGGAACGTTTTGGTGACAAAGGGGAGGAAATGGCCTTTTGTGAATTGAGAGGGAATTTAAGAGTTCAAGCCTAAACAGGATAATGAAAAAGGATTTGAAAATCTCTGCTACAGATGACGGTGAACCAAATATTTATTTTCATGTTTGACTAAACCTTTCTGCCCCCACCTACCTGTCACACGAAGTGAACTTACCTGCCAGTGTGGGGACTTACCTGGGCTGTACTTGGGGTTCTGTGGGTGTTCAGGGAGCAGAATGAATTCTGTAGAAAAGTGATGGCTTCTTCGCAGTTTCCAGCGAAGTGTTCCAGCCTCTGGCGTGAGTTGAGAGGGAGGAGATTATAAGGACCCGATCTGTCAGATGCTAAAGTAAGCAGCTGTGAGTTCCAGTTCCTGCATTTAAACCCATCTCGGGTTGGGAAGCTTCCATGTGTGAAGGTCCCTGAGATCTACAGACACTTCTGGGGCAGCAGTGCCCTTCCCACCCAGGCTTGGCATCTCAGATGCACCACGGTGTGGTTGTGGAGACACCAAGACCTGAATGGTGACTGTAATAAGCATGAGATCAGGGATGGTGATGTCTTTTCAAATTTGAGTAAAAACGTCCACATGAGAGAAAGTACCCAGAGACCGTGGCATGTGCAGCAGCTGCGGGCTGAACCCACCTGATGGAAGCAGATCCAGTCACCATGGCTGTAGGGAAAGGAGCCGTCGAGGTCTGTGGTCAGCTGGCAGCTGTCGACAAATTTGTGCAGGGCCTTCAGGGAGCTCACGACCTCACACTGCCAAGAAGAGGCACTCGTTGGTCATGGCTCCAGATGCATCTCTTGGGGGAAAACCCTGTAAATGGCTCATTCCTGGGTTCGGAGGACGGAGAGGCTGGCTCAGGGAGTATCGCCCCTGCTTTGCTGGAGGCACTGATAACAGCACTTGTCTGGGTGCAGTAATGAAAGTGAGAAGACGGGAAAGCAGGGAGCAAAGAGAAATGAAGGAAAGGCCCTGGTGAAGAAAAACCAAAAAAAAAAAAAAAAAAAAAAAAAGGGGGGAGAAAGAAGAAGGAAAAGGGAATGAATGAGTCAAGGCTGTTCTCCTGGTGCGGCAGAGGTGGCCCTTCTCAGATAAAACCCACAAACTCTGGACAAAATATAAGGACAGTTTCCTGAAAGCCCCAGCAGCCGAGACAAGTCAGGCTTATTGTGGGGGCAACTAACGCTTGCATGCGGGGCCAGCAGGGGGGGCCAGCAGGGGCGAGTTCCCGCTGTGCTCCGTCCTCAGGGCCGCTGCCAGCAGGAAGTGGCTGAGCTCCAACAGAAAACAGGCATCCTTTTGACAGCAGGTGGCTTTGTAAACAAAACAAAAAAAAAGGAAAAAGAAAAAGAAAGGAAAGGGGCTGGGCATGGTGGCTCACGCCTGTAATCCCAGCACTTTGCAGGGCTGAGGCGGGTGGATAACAAGGTCAGGAGATCGAGAATATCCTGGCCAACATGGTGAAACCCCATCTCTACTAAAAATGCAAAAATTAGCTGGGCATGGTGGCATGCACCTGTGGTCCCAGCTACTCGGGAGGCTGAGGCAGGAGAATCGCTTGAACCCAGGAGGTGGAGGTTGCGGTGAGCCAAGATCATGCCACTGCACTCCAGCCTGGCAACACAGAACAAGACTCTGTCTCAAAAAAAAAAAAAAAAAAAAAAGGAAAAGAGAGGGGCATCTGGCTGGTGTGGAGGCTCACACCTGTGATCCCAGCACTTTGGGAGGCCAAGACAGGCGGATCACTTGAGCCCAAGAGTTCAAGACCGGCCTGTGCAATAGGACAAAACTCCCATTTCTACAAAACAAACTACAAACATTAGCAGAGCGTGCTAGCGCACACCTGTAGACCCAGCTACTCAGGAGGCTGAGGTGCAAGGATCACCTGAGCCTGGGGAGGTCAAGGCTGCAAGTAGCCGTGATCACACCACTGCAATTCAGTCTCAGCAATGGAGCTCGATTTTATTTAAAAACATAAATAAAATATAAAAACAATAAGAAAATGGGCATCTTTCTAGCCTGAAGAAAGAAGAGACAGAGGATGGGGTGGCCACACCCCTGGAAAGTGAAAGTAGATTCCCAGAAGGGGGCAGCTGTGGAAGAAGCCCCGTCGTGTGTGTGTAAACTCTGCCCAAGTTTCTGGCTGACCCTGAACTGTGCATGCATGGGGAGGACTCAGAGAATTAAGCTGAACGCACTGTGGGTGACAGAGCTTCTGGTTTGAGTCTAACCATGTTACGTGCACATCAGAGTAACACTGTGAGTCTATTACAGAATCCAGTCTCCCCAACAGAATATTTACAATGTCCGGAATTACGTGACACATCAAGAATCAGAAACATAGGATCTATTCTCCAGGGAAAGACAATCAGCAGAGGCCAACCCAGAGATGACCCAGATGCTGGATTATTAGACAAGGATTTCAAAGCAGCCATTAAAACCGTGCTCAATGAGGTAAAGGAAAAATGCCTGCAATTTATGAAAGGAGAGGAAAAGTCAGGAAAGATGTAGAAAATATATTTTAAAATCCACTGGAAATCTTACAGCTGAAAAATACAATATTTGAACTAAAACATTCACTGGGAGAATGTATTAGTCTGTTTTCACACTGCTATAAAGATACTACCTGACACTGGGTAATTTATAAAGGAAAGAGGTTTAATTGACTCACAATTCGGCATGGCTGAGGAGGCCTTAGGAAACTTACAATCATGGCAGAAGGCAAAGGAGAAGCAAGACACGTCTTCCATGGCACAGGTGAGAGAGACAGAGTAAGGAAGGGCCACACTTTAAAACCATCAGCTCTCATGAGAAATCCTCACTATCAGAACAGCATCTGCCCCCACGATCCAGTCACCTCCCAGCAGGTCCCTCCCTCCACACGTGGGTATTAAAATTTGATAGGAGATTTGGGTGAGGACACAGAGCCAAGCCACATTAGTGAGCTTAACAGCTGAAAAGATGACAGAGTAAGGAACCAGTGACCCTAAGGACAGGATCAATAGAACAACCTGATCTGAAGACTAGAGAGGAAAAAAGTTTAAAAAAGACAGATTCTTAGAGATCTGTGGGACAATATTAGTATATGCAATTGAAGTACTAGAAAGAGAGAAGAGAGAGAATAAAGCAGGAAAAAAAATTTTAAGAACTAGGCCAGGTACTGTGGCTCATGCCTACAATCCCAGAGCTTTGGGAGGCCAAGGTGGGAGGCCAGCCTGGGCAACATAGCAAGACCCTGTCTCTTTAAAAAAAAAAAAAAGTAGCTTGGTGTGGGGGTGCACACCTTCAGTCCCAGTTACTCAGGAGGCTGAGGTGGGAGAATCACTTGAGCCCAGGAGTTGGAGATTACAGTAAGCTCTGATTGCACAACCACACTCCAGCCTGGGTGACAGAGCTAGATGCTGTCTCACGAAAGGAAAAAAAAAAAAAGAAAGAAAGAATGGCTAAAAAGGTCCTAAATGTGGTGATAGACATGAATTCACAAATTTAAGAGTTCGAGCCAAAACAGGATAATGAAGAAAACCAAGCCCGCTCGCATTGCAGTCAATTTGCTGAAAAGAAAGGAAGTACCTTGGAAACAGCCAAAGGAAAATTAACACACTTCATAGAGATGAACAGTGATCTGAATTATGATGAACTTTTCTTCTAAAATTACGGAGGCCAGAGGGCAACAGAGCAACATCTTTAAAGTGCTGAGGGGAAAAGCAAAACTCCTCTCAAACCAGAATTCTAGATGTAACAAAAATATCTTTTCAGAATGAGGCCAAATGAAGATGTTTTCCAATAAAAGAGAACGATACAAAGAAAGAGAAGGAAAGAAAATACATGAGGTGGAGAAGAAAGGTCACATTTTTAAGTTTTTCATGGCATACTCTGCAGGGCTCCTGCGAGAACTTACGGGGTAGGAAGGAGGTTTCCAGGCTCCCACATGGATGCAATTAGAACTTATCTAAATTCTTTCATGTGTTTAATCTCATCTAGGTGCCTTAATGTTTAATTTTATCTATCACTCCGGATCCCACAGTCTAAACCATTACCTGAATTATTGCATCCTTGTCAGGCCTAAATGCAGATTCTTTATCTATCAACAGCAAGATACTATGAATTATAGGAGATGTGTTGTTCTGAAATAAATAAGAAATAAATATTACTGATTAGCTTTCTAATTTTTAACTTCATTAATAGAATTGCCCAATTTTGATTGGTACTAATTCTGTCATAGTTTCCCAGCGTACCTACAGTGCATAAAACATAGTTGACTTTGCCCTGAAATGTAAATTATTTGCTCTTATGAATTTTAATGTAATCAGGTTTATCGAGGTATAATTTACATACAATAAAATTCACCCTTTTCAGTGAATAGTTCTGTAAGTTTTGACGAAAGCATAGTCATGTAATCATCACCACCATCAAGACAAAGAACTATTAAGCAACCCCAAAATTCTCTTGTGCCTCTTTGTAGTCAAGCCCTCCCCTATGCCCAGCCCCTGGCAACCGCTGATCTGCTTTCGTCTCCACCGACTTGCCTCTTCTAGACATAAACAGACTAAGGCAGGAGTGGCCTCTCTCACTTAGTGCTGTGCGTTAGGAACTCGTCCCTGTTGTGGAGACTAAGGGTGTGTTCCTCTGTTTTGCTGAGCAGTATTCCACGGTATGCCTCACCACAATCTGTTCATCCATTCACCGGCTGAAGGATAACTGGGTTGTTTCCAGTTTTTCGCAATCATGGGTAAAGTCACTATAAATACTGTGTGAACACAAGTTTTCATTTATCTTGGATAAATATCTAGGAGTGGGATTTCTGGCTCATGTGATAAGTACGTGTTTTCCAGAGTGGCTGTACAATTTTGCATTTCCATCAGCAGTACCAAGCATTTGTTATTGTTAAGCTTTGTTGCTGTTTTTGTGTGTTTCATTTTGGTTTTCAGTTGCATTTCCCCAGTGATTAATGATGTTCGGCAAATTTTCATGTGCTTCTTTGCCATCTGTGTATCATCTTCAGTGAAGAGCACTCAAATCCTTTCCCATATTTTATTGGGTTGTTTTCTTATTACTGAGTTTTGAGATTGTATATATTCTATAGACAAGTCCTTTATCGGTTGTGTGTATATTTTCAATTGTTTCATTGTGGTGAAACACTATTATCATCATTTTTCAGTGTACAGTTCAGTAGTCTTAGATACATTCATAATGTCGTGCAACCACCACCACCGTTCGTCTCCATAACTCTTTTCATCTTGTAAAACCAAAACCCTGCACCCGTTAAAGAAAAACTGTTCATTACCCTCTGCCCCTGGCACCAGGCGACCACCATTTTACTTTCTGTCTCTGGGATCTGGGCTACTCTGAGTACTCTTAGAAGTGGAATGTTTGTCTTTTTGTGATTGGCTTATTTCACTCAGCATGTCCTCAAGATTCATACATGCTGCAGCATATGTCAGAATTTCCTTCCTTTTTAAGGTTGGATAATATTCCGTTGTAAGGATAGGCCACATTTTGCTTATCTATTCATCTGTTTATGGGTACTAAGGTTGCTTCTGTGTTTTAGATGTTATGAATAATGCTGCTATGAACATAGTTGTATAAATACCTCTTTGAAACTCTGCTTTCAATTTCTTGGGTATATACCCAGACACAGCATTGCTGGATCATATGGTAATCCTATGTTTACCTTTTTGAGGATTGCCAAACTATTTTCCACAATGAGTCACTATTTACTGTTCCCACCAACAGTGCACAAGGGTTCCAATTTCTCCGTATCTTTGCCAACACTTGTTGTTTTTTTACAATAGCCAACCTAACGCATGGGGAAGTGGTATTTAATTGAGGTTTTGATTTGAATTTCTCTAATCATTAATGACATTGAGCACCTTTTCATGTGCTCATTAGCCATGTATATATCTTCTCTGGAGAAATGTCTATTCAAGCCTTTTGTTCATTTTTGAATTGGGCAGTTTGGTTTTCGTTGTTGTTGAATTTTAGGAGTTCTCTATATATTCCGGATATTAACCTCCTACCAGATACATAATTTGCCAAAATTTCCCCCCATTCTGTGGGTTGCCTTTTTACTCTGTCGATAGTGTCTTCTTATTTACTTGTTTTGAGACGGGGTCTCTCTCTGTCATCCATACTGGAGTGCAGTGGCATGTTCATGGCTCACTGCAGCCTTGATCTCCTTGGCTCAAGTGATCCTCCCACCTCAGCCCCTTAAGTAGCTGGGACTACAAACATGCACCACCATGCTCAGCTAATTTTCTTTTTCATAGCGACAGAGTCTCACTATATTGCCCAGGCTGGTCCTGAACTCCTGGGCTCAAGTGATCCTCCTGCCTCAGCCTCCCAAAGTGCTGGGATTACAGGAATGAGCCACCACACCTGGCTGGTAGTGTTGATACACAACATTTTTTAATTTTTGAAAAGTCTGATTTGTCTTTTTTTTCTTTTGTTGGTGGTTCCTCTGATGTTATATCTAATATATCACTGCCAAATCCAATGTTAGAAAGTTTCTGCTCTATGTTGTCTTCTAAACATTTTTTAGTTTTAGGCCTTACAATTAGGTCTTTGATCCATTTGAGTTAATTTTTTATATGGTGTTTAGGTAAGGGTCCAACTTCATTCTTTTGCATGTGGATATCTAGTTTTTTAAGCACCATTTGTTAAAAAAGACTGTCTTTTCTCCATTGAATGGTCTTGGTACCCTTTTCAAAAATCATTTATGTATATGATTGTTAGTTTCATGGCTTTCTATTCTATTCAATTGTTCTATATGTCTGTTTTTAATGCCAGTGCCATACTTTTTTGATTACTGTTGCTTTGTAGTAAGTTCTGAAATCAAGAACTGTGAGTCCTCCAGCTTTGTTTTTATTTTTTATAATTGTTTTGGCTAGTTGGAGTCCTTTGAGATTCCCTATGAATTTCAGGATAGGTTTTTCTATTTTGGCAAAAAACGTCAGTGGAATTTTGATAGGGATTGCACTGTATCTATACATCACTTTGTGTAGTATTGATATTTCAATACAATATTAAGTCTTCCAATCCTTGAACATGAGATATCTTTCTATTTACATCTTCTTTAATTTCTTTCAGCTGTCTTGTAGTTTTCAGTGAAAAAGTCTTTCACTTCTTTGGTTAATTCCTAAGTACTTTCTTCTTTTTGATGCTATTGTAAATGAACTGTTTCCTTAATTTCCTTTTCAGATTGCTCACTGTTAAGTGTATAGAAGTGTGACTGATTTTTGTGTGTTGACTTTGTATCCTGCTACTTTGCTGAATTAACTTATTTTATTTCTTTCTTTTTTGTGGAACTGTTAGGATTTTCTGCATACAAGATCACATCATCTGGGAATAGAGATAATTTTACTTCTTCCTTTCCAGTTTGGATGCCTCTTCCCCCCCACCCCTTTTTCTTGTCCAATTGCTCTAGCTAGAACTTCCAGTAATATGTTGAATAGAAGTGGGCATTATTGCCTTGTTCCTGATTTTAGATGAGAAGATTTCAGTTTTTTGCCATTGAGTATGATATTTCCTGTAGATTTTTCATATGACCTTTATTATGTTGAGGTAATTTCCTTCTATTTCTAGTTTATTGAGTGCTTTCATCATTAAAGATGTTGAATTTTGTCAAGTGCTTTTTTTGGCATCAATTGAGATGATCATGTGTTTTTCCCCCTTCATTCTGTTTGTGTGGTATATTACACTGATCAGTTTTCATGTGTTGAACCATCCTTGCATTCCAGGAACAAATTGTACTCGGTCAGGGTGTATAATCCTTTCAACCTGCTACTGAATTTGATTTGCTATTATTTTGTTGATGATTTTTGCATCAACTTTCATAAGGGATATTGCTCTGCAGTGTTCTTTACTTTTAGTGTCTTTGGTTGGCTTTAGTATCACGGTCATGCTGGCATCATAGAATGAGTTAGGACATATTTCCTACGTGAATTTCTTTTGAAAAAGTCAATAAGGAACTTACATGCTTGTAAAATATTTTATGGAAACTGAGTTTTGGCACTTCACACTATGTCTACCTTGTGTTAGAGAAGTTAACTGAGCTTTAGAGCAATGCATTGTGAACCTTTTTTGGTGAACGCTAGTAATAAACATATATATTCTTTTTTCCACCCTGATGTCACTACCTTAGGTTTGCTAAGCAGGTATGGGCTCTTCCAGATTCCTCTTGTGCCCAGGTTACCTCTGGGTCAGCTTTGTTTCCTCCCCTAGAATCTGTTCCTTGACTGCCATTTCTTTGTCTAGGTGAAGCAGAGACCACTGCCCAGGTGCCCAACCAGGGACAGCTCATGCTCATGCTGTGGTGCAGGGCCTCATGTTCCTTTCTTGGAGGCCTTGAGAATCTCTCAGAACCTCTCTGATCAATGCCTCCCCTGGCCCTGGGCCTCCCTGAGGCTTTCCTGACACTGTCTGTGCACTGGGGACTCCTGTCTAGCCTAGCTGGTGCAACCCAACTCGTGGCACTTCCTGTCTGGACCTCAGCCTGTGCTCTCTCCTCCCAGTGACCCCTTCCTGACCTCGGGGAGTCACCTCAGCCCCTTGCCCAGCCCAAGGTCCCTGTCACTTGCTCCCAGGCCAGCCGATTTCTGCTGGCCCAGCCACCCTGCCAGGCAGTTCTGGAGGATGCCACCACGGGGCCCAACCTGAGTGGATCCCCCTCTGTAAGAGGGGCCATGACTGAGCCTGTCTCCTCCAAGTATCAGGTAGGACACTGAGATTTTCTAAGAAGAGCCATGTACTGCGAAAGTAAGAAGAAATCACAGGCAGGACTGACAGTAAGGAGGGAGACAAGAGGCAGGTTCACTCTAAGGCGAGGGGAGGCAGGCTCCATGCAAGAGGGGAAGTGTGGGGGAGAGAAGTGGTGGCAGCAGGGTGGAGAGAGAAGAGGGGAGACTGTGGCGGGGGGTAGGAAGGAGGACTGCAGGGTTAGAGAAGAGGAGGGAGGACTGCAGGGTGGGGGGAGAGGATGGGGGGCCACAGGGTCAGGGGACACAAGGGAGGACTGTGGGGGAGGAGAAGAGGGGGGAGATGAGGGAGGACTCAAGAGTTAGGGAAGAGGAAGGAGGACTGCAGGGTGTGGGGAGAGAAGGGAGGACTATGGGGGAGGAAGGAGTACTGCAGGGGAAAGAGGAGGGAGGACTTTAGGTTAGGGAAGAGGAGGGAGGTCCACAGTGGGGACAGGAGGGAGGACTGTGTGGGGGGGAGGAGAGAGGATCACAGGGGTGAATAGAAGGGAGGGCTGCAGGGTTAGGGAAGAGGAGGGAGGACCATGGTGGGGAGAGGAGGGAGGGTTACAGTGTGTGAGAGAGGAGGAACCACCATGGGGGTAGAGAGAAGGGGGATCATGGAGGGGGAGAGGATGGAGGACCACGGGGGGGAGGACGGAGGGTCACAGGGTGTGGGAGAGGAGGGAGGGCTGCAGGGTGGGAGAAGAGGAGGAACGACTGTGGGGGTGGAGAGGAGGGATGACTGTGGGGGTGGAGAGGAGGGAGGACTGTGGGGGTGGAGAGGAGGGATGACTGTGGAGAGGGAAAGACAGGAGTGCCATGGGAAGGAAGAGGAGGGAGGGCTGCAGAATGGGGGAGAGGAGGGAGGACTGCCAGTGGGGAGAAGAGGGAGGCCCATGGAGGGGGAGAGGAAGGAGGACTCCACAGTGGAGTGAGTTCTGCCAGCACTGTCCCTGACTGACATCTTTCCTGGCACAACCTGCCACCTGGTGTCCCTAAACTTGAGTTTCCTCAGTGAGTATAAGAGCCTCTGCCTCCATCTTCAGCAGGGACAGCAACAGCGTAATGGGTTTAGCTTCGTGGAGTGCAGGTGGGGCATGGGAGAGGGCACCCCGGGTTCTGTCCCTGTCCCCTCCCTGTCCCTGTCCCCTCCCTGTCCCTGTCCCTGGACACCCCGTCCCTGGTCTCTCCCCGTCTCTGGGCTCCCATCTGTCCCTGCTCAGGCAGTGACATCTTCCCATCCGCAGTGCTTCCCATCTCCTCTGGATGTTGCTTATGGTTCAATGCAGGGCCCCTAGGCCATGCACGGTGGCTCATGCCTGCGATCCCAGCACTCTAGGCAGCTAAGGTGGGTGGATCACTTGAGTCCAGGAATTCAAGACCAGCCTGGGCAACATGGCAAAACCCCATCTCTAGTAAACATATAAAAAATTAGCTGGGCATGGTGGCACATGCCTGTGGTCCTAGCTACTCTGGAGGCTGAGGCAGGAGCATGGCTTGAGCCTGGGAGTTTGAGGCTACAGGGTCCTGTAGCAATAGCACTGACCCTGTCTGGGGCTGCCAGGTTCGTCCCCACCCTGGTTCATCCTTGCAGTGAGCCATGGCTGCCCCTTCCTCCTCTGTCCTTTGTCTGAAGGACAATGCCATGCCCTGCATCCTGGAGGGGCATAGCAGGGGCAGCCATACTGGGCAGGGATGGGGCTGTGCTGTCCTCCTGGGACAGGTGCCCCCCACCTGGGCCTGGCTGGCTTTGCTTTTTAGGTTTGCAGTTGCCCCCAGCATGGAGCTTCCCCAAGTCCCCAGTGGATGGGCCAAGCCCACCTTCCCCAGTGTTGTCTGTGTTCTGGCCCCGGAGAGCAAGAGCTGGACCCATTGGGAAGACCCCAAGAAGGAGGGGGCTCTGCACAGGGGCCTGTCTTGAATCTTCACACTAAGCCTATGGACTGGCTACTCAGAACCACGATGTGGGCAGCCCCAGTGGCACACGGCCCCGAGATGCTCTGCACACCCAAGGGACGTGACAACCCTGCCATACCTGCAATCCCGCGAGGGCCTGGGAGACGGCAGGGGCGGCTGGACTCCTGCGTGCGTCCACCAGGACGACCAGACCCAGGTCCCGGACCTCCTTCCTGGGGACGGAAAGACAGCTGGTCTTAACCACCGAAGGTGAAATCTCTTACAAAAACGAGTTTCTCCACCTCCGAGACTAGTCGTTACTGGTTTCCTTTCAGCTCTAGAAGTTAGGGGTTCTCTATACACATCAGCCTTCCACTTCCTGAAGGTGCAGGCCCATCGGCTGGAGGCACCACCGTCGTTCCTCTTGCTAACCCGCCAGTGACGTCAGACAGTCTCGGCCGTGGGGCTGCGGCTACTTTCCCCTAAACGCCCACCCATGCTCCTGGATGGACGAAATGGGCCCTGCTCCATCAAGGGGGCAAGGGCTTCAGGGCCTTCTTGCCTTCGTGTATTTGTCTGGGCTTTAACGTAAGCACAGAAGGTGATTCTGATGATTCTGACGGGATGTGGACGGCCTGTTCCCAAGACGGAAGCTTGAGATCAGTCATAAGGGTCTTTACTCTCCAGAGCCAAGCTAAGACTGTTAGAACATCTTTTAAAACTAAAAATACCATCACGTGGTTTTGAAAACTCCAATTTAAAAGTTTTGTGTCTGTGATTGTGACTGGAAACTTCACTTCAAAATTTAATAGGAGAAAAGAGTAGGTTGGGTGAGCTGATATATTCATTTTACAAAATTTTAGGGTTCGGCTGGTCTGAAGGGAGTGAGTTATCTCATTTGATTGCTCACGCAGTTACAGATCAAACACCTTGTTCTACTCTTCCCCCCTTCTCACTACTACACTTGACTAGTCTTAAAAAATACATAGCCTGGGCCGGGCGCGGTGACTCACGCCTGTAATCCCAGCACTTTGGGAGGCCGAGGTGGGTGGATCACCAGGTCAGATCGAGACCATCCTGGCTAACACAGTGAAACCCCGCATCTACTAAAAATACAAAAAATTAGCCAGACGTGGTGACGGGCGCCTGTAGTCCCAGCTACTCAGGAGGGTGAGGCAGAAGAATGGCATGAACCCGGGAGGTGGAGCTTGCGGTGAGCTGAGATTGCGCCACTGCACCCAGCCTGGGCAACAGAGCAAGACTCCGTCTCAAAAAAAAAAACAAAAAACAAAAAACAACTATATATATAGCCTGGCGCTATGGCTACCTGGGAGGCTGAGGCGGGAGCAGGATTGCTTTAGCCCAGGAGGTTGAGGCTACAGTGAGCTGTGATTGCATCACTGTGCTCTAGCCTGGGCGACAGCAAGACCCTGTCTAAAAAAAAATAAAAATAAAAATAAATTTTGTGTGTGTGTGTGTGTGTGTGTTCTCCGAGAAACTTCTTCAGCTCTAATTCCAGGATGAATTCCCATTCTAATTAAGCTGTGTGTCTGGACGCTGATCTTACAGCACTCATGTAGCCAAGGACACAACAGAACCCTGACTCAAAGCCGGCAGAAGCTGCACGTCACACGGATGGCTGAGTCCTGGTCAAAAGAGTGAGTGTGCCCTCCCCGCCCCGTAGCCAGGTGTGTTTAATTGTGGGTGTCACTGGGAAGGATGTGTACAGAAGACAAGAAATGGTGTGTAGAAATCAAGGCTGGAAGCACAGGGGTGCTGACTGTTTTGAAAGATGAGGTTAGGAGAGGCAGAGTCTGGTCATGGAAGCTGGCACCTCCCTGTGCCCCCCACTTTGCCACACACATGCAGCTGGGGTCCCACGGGTCTGCAGGGTGGGGCCTGGCCCCCCGTCCTACCTGGGGATGCTATGGAAGTACAGCAACAGTTCGGTCAGCTCGGCGCAGGACAAGTGTTCCCTGGTCCAGAGCGGGCTCCTGGTGCGGACCTGCACCACCGCTCTGCCCTGACGGTCTCGGGTCCCTGTGGAGACAGAGACAGGGCAGCTGCCAAGGGTTTCACTCCTACGAGGTGATGAGCTGGGTCTGTGCTGTTGGCTTAGATGTGAGATCGGCCCTGACAGGAGAGCCTGGTGTGTGCTCACCTGGGCAAGCGGCAGCCCATGCTCACCTGGGAGGGTGATGACCCCGGACTGCAGCAGCTCCTGGTTGACGTCCAGCACCCGCTTGGGCACCTGGCTGGGGAAGTCCCCTGTGCCCGGCGGCCACCCTTCTTGCTCAGGGCGTGGCTGCTGGGCAGGCGCATCGGAAAGCCCGCTGGGGTTGTGGCAATGGAAGCTGCCGCCGTCTGTGCTGACGTAGGCTGAGGACGCAAGAACGTCTGGACAAAGGAAAGAGGCTGTGTCAAAGATGAAGGTTTTCCTGCGCGTTGAAGGCAGCTGCTCTGCTCAGCTTGCTACGCACCACGGGACAGAAACACGCATGAAAATAGGCGGTTCCATGAGAACTTGTCCCAGTTCACATGGGAAGTGAAAGCGTGTTCCACTGCACAGGGCACGCGGCGTCATCACATACAGAGACGGATTCTCCAGCTCACAGACAGCTCCTTACCTGCACACCCCTCAGGAAGAACGGGTCATCTCATCCCTGCTCACCTGCTCAAAGTGCAGCGTGTGTGACTGCATGCGGTGTGTGATTGCGTGTGCGTGCGTGGTATGTGTAACTCTGGCACGTGTGATTGTGTGAGGCATGTGACTGGTGTGTTACTGTGTGTGGTATGTGGAACTCTGGTGTGTGACTGTGTGTCAATCTGGAGAGTGTGATCATGCGAGGCCTGTGACTGTGTGTGGTGTGTATGTGCGTGTATCATGTGAGGCATGTGACTGCGTGTGATGTGACTGCATGTGTGATATGGGTAACTCTGGAGCGTGTGATCGTGTGAGGCATGTGACTGCATGTGGTGTGTGATTGCGTGTGCATGTGTGTGGTATGTGGAACTCGAGCGTGTGATCGTGTGAGGCATGTGACTGTGTGGTGTGTGATTGCGTGTGCATGTGTGTGGTATGTGGAGCTCGAGCATGTGATAGTGTGAGGCATGTGACTGTGTGTGGTGTGTGATTGCGTGTGCATGTGTGTGGTATGTGGAGCTCGAGCGTGTGATAGTGTGAGGCATGTGACTGTGTGGTGTGTATGACTGTGTGCATGTATCGTGAGGCATGTGACTGTGGTGTGACTGTGTGCGTGCATTGTGTGAGGCATGTGACTGCATGTGGTGTGTGATTGCATGTGCATGTGTGTGGTATGTGGAACTCGAGCGTGTGATCGTGTGAGGCATGTGACTGTGTGTGGTGTGTGACTGCGTGTGCATGTGTGTGGTATGTGGAACTCGAGCGTGTGATCGTGTGAGGCATGTGACTGTGTGTGGTTGTTACGGTGTGTATGTGACTGCGAGGGGTGCTGCACGATTGTGTGTCTTCTCTGCCCAGTACAAATGGAAGAAAATCAATACAAAGGAGAGGTGAGGGGCTGGAAACCACAGGGAGGGGCTGGGACTTCTCACTTCAGCTGAAGTGCAGTGAGGTCACAGAAAACTTCCAGGAAGCGCTGCCCCAAGCGAGTGCTTCTGTTACAAAAAAGCTCTTTCTGCAGTGGGTCCCGTGTGTGCGGCACTCTGGGAACGTCAGAAGTTCCAGGCACAGCAGCCTGACTTCGAAGGCGAAAGGCCCTCGTGAGGTGGCTGGAACGGGCCGGGCCACACTTCTGTCTCCAACGGCCGTGGTGCCTCCGATCCCCTGGTTAGGCCAGGCGGGTAGAGGGTGGGCGGCCAGGCGGCTGTCTCCAGGCACCGCAGCGGGCGGCCCACGGAGAGGAGGGCTCAGCCCGTCCATTTCGCGAGGTTGGGTGGCCCCGCTCGCTGGAGCCCACATCAGTATGTTCACGTTTTCCTTGTTTCCAACATCACTGGTTGTGTTACTCACAGGCTATTTCTTTACTCAAAACAAAAACAAAAACAAAACAAAAACAAAAACCAAAAGAAAAACAAAAGAAAATATTTGAAATATTTGATTTAAGAAATATGTTGTCATTCTTTTCTTACTTGATGCCCTGCGAACAGTCTTTAAATCGTCCCATTTTCTCTCCTAACCCTTGGAAACTGTGAATGTGGCCTCCAGTTGGAAACTGAGTCTGGGGATCTGGATGTGAGGTGGTCCTGGGTTTAGAGGGGCCCCAAATCCAGCGATGGATGCCCAAGAGCAAGGAGAGGGAGATTCGAGTCAGAGGCAAAGGGGAGGACGGTCAGAGTGCTGCAGCAATAGCCCAGGACACCTGGAGTCCCGGAAGCCGGAAGAGGCGGGACGGGTGCCCCTGGACCTCAGAGCGGGGACACTCTGCCCATAGCTTGATGTTGGACTTCTGGTCTCCAGAACGTGAGCCCAACACGAATGTGGAGACTGGCTTCTTGTGGATCAAGTGACCAAACAAAACTGTGACAGGGTGGGAGGGGGACAGTGCAGGGGGAGGCTGTGGGGGTGTGTAGGGGAGGAGTGGGGGTGTGCGGGGGAGGTTGTGGGGTGTGGGGGAGGGGCGGGGTGTGTGGGGGAGGTTGAGGGGGTGTGCAGGGGAGGGGCGGAGTGTGCAGAGGAGGGGTGGAGTGTGCAGGGGAGGTTGGGGGTGTGCGGGGGAGGTTGTGGGGTGTGCGGGGGAGGTTGTGGGGTATGTGGGGGAGGGGCGGGGTGTGGGGGAGGTTGTGGGGGTGTGCAGGGGAGGGTGGGGTGTGCAGAGGAGGGGTGGAGTGTGCAGGGGAGGTTGTGGGGTGTGTGGGGGAGGTTGTGGGGTGTGCGGGGGAGGTTGTGGGGTGTGCAGGGGAGGTTGTGGGGTGTGCAGGGGAGGGGGTATGGAGCATTTACCTTCCTCTTTGATGCAGCCGGGACCCTCTACTGGGACACAGTTTGGGGTCCCCACAGCTGGTCCTCTTAGGTGGCCCCCAGGCCTGGCACCGGCTGAGTGGTGGGAGGTGTGGCAGGCTGCAGCCTGGGCCCCTCCGGAGCTTCTGGGCGCCCTTTCCCGGGACCGAGACCTCCTGGGAAGGGTCCGCCCCGTGGCTCCTGGACCTGCCCGGCTGGGCGTGTGCCTCTCCTTCTCTAGACTCGGGGTCTGCTGGGGGTCTCCCCAGGGACCAGAGGTTTCCTCCTGAGTCCCACTGGCTGCTGTCCCAGTCCCCGGGTCCCTGCTGGCTCCAGCCAGGGAGCTGCGGGCTGGGCCCCCGAGGGCCTCCTCAGAGCTGCCCAGGGGCATGGGGTTCCGCAGGGCCTCCATGTACGACTCCCTGAACCAGCGTCTAGGTGGCACACAACTGGAGTCCCCTGGTGGCCGCCTCCTGCTGCTCGGGATGTCCAGGTCTGTGTGGAAGGTGAGGGTCTTGGGGCCTTCCTCCTGGTCCAGCTTCTGCTCCGATCCCCTGCAGTTCTCAGGGGGCATCCGTGGGCCCTGCTCTGAGGAGCTGACCTTTTCGAAGTCCCTGTCTGAGCTTCCAGACAGGGTCTGGGGCCTTCCCAGCTCGGCTCTTTCTGGGTAAGGAAGGTGCCTGAGCTGGTCGCTGCCCACATGCCCTCGGCGGCAGGGTGGGGTCAGGGTGTCGGGGGAAGGGGTGCTTCCCTGGAAATGGGGGCCTGCCATGGCTTGGGTGGGGGCTGGGGCCTCTGAGGGGCTGCTGGGCAGCTGCTCGGGACCTGTGCAGCTGGAGCAGCTCTGCAGGATGGCTCCAGGGCTGGGGACAAAGACAGGGTTAGTGATGTCGCTCCAGGGGGCTCGGTGGACAGCCAAGCCTGAGGTCAGCAAGCAGGTGCGCAGGGGAACGTGGCTCCGTTCCTGGTTCACCCACTCCAGGAATGCCCCCGTGAAGACACAGCCGTACATGGCCTCAGGGATGGTGACTTCCTCTATGCCCCTTCCCAGCCGGGACAGGCATTTCAAGACCAGTCTAGCTGACTGCTTCCCCGCCGATGTGACCTGCAGGTAGAAGTCCCCGGGCTGGAGCCGGACTCCGTGCAGGGACGCCAGCTGCACCACCACCTTCTCATGGGCACACAGCGGCCAACCTGGGTGCAGGAAGACCAGACCCCTGTACCTGGCCTGAGACAAGAGAGAAAGGAGGTTAGTGGTGGGCACGGCCACGGCCTGGGCTCCTCCGTGCCCTGGGTCTCCACCTCTCAGGGGAAGGTCAGTGACTGAGCTCCCACAGGGAAGGCGTCTCACGGGGACTGGGATGCACTGTCCCTTGGAACATAAAACAGGTCATTAGGACTAGAAAAATCATGGGCTTCTCTTTGGTTCAAGGGTCAGTTATAAAAGCAATCGTATAGTTCTACCTGGAGGCTGGGGGTAGGTGGGCAGGACAGGGGAGAGGAGGCTGCTCGAGGGTCACAGCCAGAGCCCACCAGGCGCTCTGAAGGGTGAGTTGTCCCTCAGAGTGGCTCCAGCCTGGGCAAGGGGCCGGGCGTCCACACTTGCCCCTGCCAGCCCTGGTCAGGACCACCCTAAGGGGGGGCTCCCTCCTCTGCACTTCCGGTGTTCCCTGCGGCTCCTGGCCGCTGCGGGCGCTACCTCGGCCTCCTCAGCGAGGAGTGCGGGTGCCAGGATGCTGGTGAATTTCACTTCAGAATTTTCTCCGTTCCCTTTAAATAGCTGAGATCCCACTCCATTTACAACTGTGTACTTTAGCTATTTTCACCCAGCGTGATTTCACGAGCATTTCCTGTGCTGTTAGAAACTGCAGACAGATCACGTAACTGTTGGGTATTTATTTTCCCCAAATTTTGCTCTGACAAACTAAAATACAGTAAACATCTTGGGGCCTAGAGCCCCGCCTGGGTTTCAGTTGCTTCTAGAGAATCTTATACCAAGTTCATGTTCAGCCTACCCACCAATCACGTGTTGCACTGGTAACAAACAGGCCTGAGATGTGAGTGTGTTTTCTCACTCGCAGCTCAGCTTTACTATGCTGGCCTCAGGGACTCCACGGAAGTCACAATCCCAGCTTTCCAGAATGGCAATAAAAATGCACTAAACACTTGAAAGTGCATTTGCCACTGAAAGGGACCCATATTCAGATGGTGAAAGGTTATTCTCAAAAGCCTTTTTCTAATCATTTTCATCTTACTGGGCTTGAATTCTTGGAATGTAAAATCGAGTATGAGCATCCTAGGTGGCTGAGGGAAGTGAAAACAAGTTCCTCAACTTTTATCAGAATTTAAGCTCAAACTTCACTCAAGGGGAGGATATACCGAACAGGGGCATAAAACGGAGCCATCATTGATATGGCAAATCTGACTTAAAGAATGTAAAGTTACACCCTCATTTCAGAAAATAACCTGAATAGATGAAAGTAACGTAATGCAGAAAACTAGAAAATATTCATCTACTTCAGAGGGAAGAAATTAGCTGGGGGGGGGTATGGGGGGTGCGTCCCAGGGTCTTCTGTGAGCCACTGGCAAATCCAAGTGGTCATTTAATCGTCTGATGTCAGGGCGGGCCCTGGAGCTGCTGCACTCCAGACCCACAGTCCATGCAGACATCGGCCCACCCAGTTTTCAGAAACGTCTGCGCGTGTTCCTCACCTTGGTGAGCAAGCCATTCAAGAAGCAGCTCCCTGATACCCTCCCAGGTGCTGCGAGGCAGCCTGTCTGAGGAGCTGTGTCCTGGGCTGGACACCTGGTGGGGCCACCTCCGGCCTCTCCACAGGTTTCACCCCAGAAGAGACAGGTACCTGCTGGTCCATGAGGACCTCCCTGAGTCTGACCCCAGAGCCCGTCCCCGATCCTACTGCCTGGCACAGCTGTACTGGTGCCCAGGGCATGTTCCCGTGAAGAGGTGATTTGATGTAAAATGCACGACTGTTGAAAAAATCATTGTGACTTGTCCTTGTAATTGCACTACCAGATTTTTTTCAGTGTTAGAAAACAGAAGTGGGAGGGTGTTGGAGCCTTGCATGTCTTTTGCCCTCCCATAGGGGTCTACAAGTCTCTACATATCAAATATTTGATGAGACAAACCCTATTTCCAAACCCTATTTCCAACATGCATAGGGTTTCTTCGCTGTGGAAGGGAACTGGTCTGGGTTAAGGCAGTGGCACAGCCCAGAGCAGGAGGGAAGTCAGACTGTGGGGAGGAGGGGGTGTGTGTGCACGTGTGAGTGTTAAAACAGATATAATGTGAAGTTCACCAGCATAATCATGATTACGAGGTACAGTTCAGTGGCATTAAGTACATTCACACAGTTATGTAACTATCACCACCATCCATCTCCAGAACTTTCCACCTTCCCAAACTGAAACAGTGAACCCATCAAACACCAGCTCACCATTCCCCTGCCCCTGAGCCCCCAGTACCCACCATTCCACTTCCTGTCTTGATGAATTTGACTAACTACTTCCACAAGTGGAATCGTCCAACATTTGTCCTTCCAGTACTGGCTCCTATCCGTTGGCACAGTATCCTCAAGGTCCATTCATGCCGCAGGTAGCACGTATTGGAACTGCACTCCTTCTGAGGGTTGCATAATATTCCACTGTGTATACATACTACATTTTGTTATCCATTCACCCATCCACAGCGTTGCACAATATTCCATTATGTGTACACACTACATTTTGTTATCCATTCACCCATCCACAGCGTTGCATAATATTCCACTGTGTATACACACTACATTTTGTTATCCATTCACCCATCCACAGCGTTGCATAATATTCCATTATGTGTACACACTACACTTTGTTATCCATTCACCCATCCACAGCGTTGCACAATATTCCATTATGTGTACACACTACATTTTGTTCGTCCATCCACGAACACTGGGGTTGTTTCCACCTTTTGTCTATTGTGAATAATGCTGCTGTCAACACAGGTGGACAAATACCTGTTTAAATCCCTGATGTCCATTCTTTTGGGTAGGTGCCTGGAAGTGGAACTGCTGGATCACAGGGTGATTCTGTGTTCACTCTTTTGAAGAACTGTTTCCACAGCAGCTGCACCATTTCACGTCATCACCAACCATGCACAAGGACCCCAATTTCTCCACACTGTTGCAAGCACTTGTTTCCCAGTGGTGTTTTTCCTTTAACAGTAGCTATCACAATGGATGGGAAGTGGTGTCTAACTGAGGCTTTGATTTGTGTTTCCCTCCTGATTAATCATGTTGAGCATCTCTTCATGGGCTTATTGGCCACTTGTATATTTTTGATTTGCATTATTTTTGTTGTTGAGCTTTTGGAGTTCTTCATTCATTCTGGATATTAATCCCTTATGAGATACACAATGTGCAAATATTTCCCCCATTCTGAGGGCTGCTTTTACACTGTGTCAATAAGGCCCTTTTTATGCAATGGTACCCTTTTTAAAAATTCGATGAAGCCTAATTTATTTTTCACTTTTGATGGTTGTGCCTTTGGTGTCATATCTGAAAAATCTTTGCCAAATCAGATGTCACAAAGCTTTTCCTCTATGTTTTACTCTAAGAGATATAGTTCTCACATTTAGGTCTTTGATCCATTTTGAGTGAGTTTTTGTAAACGGGGTTTAGGTAAGGGCCCTACTTCATTCTTTTGCATGTGGATATCCAGTTTTCCAAGCACCACTGATTGAAAAGACTGTCTTCCCCAGTGAATAGTCTTGGCACCCCTGTAGAACATCACTTAGGCATATACGTGAGGGTTTATTACTGGGCTCTCTATTCCATTCCACTGGTCTATGTGTCTGTTTTTATGCCAGTGTCACACTGCTTTGATTACTGTAGTTTTGTACTAAGTTTTAAAATCAGGAAGCGTGAGTCCTCCAACTTTTCTTTTTTTCAAGATTGTTTTGGCTATCTGGGGGTCTCCTGAGATTCCACATGAGTTTTAAGATGGGCTTTTCTATTTCTGCAAAAAACACCATTGGGACTTTAATAGGATTGCACTGAATCTGTAGATCACTTTGGATAGTACTGACATTTTACTATATATATATATATATATATTTTTTTTTTTTTTTTTTTTTTTTTTTTTTTTGAGACGGAGTCTCGCTTTGTCACCCAGGCTGGAGTGCAGTGGCGCGATCTCAGCTCACTGCAAGCTCCGCCTCCCAGGTTTACACCATTCTCCTGCCTCAGCCTCCCCAGTAGCTGGGACTACAGGCGACTGCCACCACGCCCAACTAATTTTTTTGTATTTTCAGTAGAGATGGGGTTTCACTGTGTTAGCCAGGATGGTCTTGATCTCCTGACCTGGTGATCCACCCACCTCGGCCTCCCAAAATGCTGGGATTACAGGCGTGAGCCACTGCACCCAGTCTATTTTACAATATTAAGTCTTCCAATTCATGAACATGGGATGTGTTTAAAATTATTTACATCATCTTTAATTTCTTTCAGCAATGTTTTATATTTTCAGTGAACAAGTCTTTTACTTTTTAGTTAAATTTATTCCTAGGTATTTCATTCTTTTTAATACTATTATAAATGAATTTTTTTTTTTTTTGAGGTGGAGCCTTGATCTGTTGCCCAGGCTGGAGTACAGTGGCGCGATCTCAGCTCACTGCAAGCTCTGCCTCCCGGGTTCACACCATTCTCCTGCCTCAGCCTCCCTAGTAGCTGGGACTACAGGCACCCGTCACCATGCCCGGCTAATTTTTTGTATTTTTAGTAGAGATGGGGTTTCACCATGTTAGCCAGGATGGTCTCAATCTCCTGACCTGGTTATCCGCCTGCCTCAGCCTCCCAAAGTGCTGGGATTACAGGCTTGAGCCACCGCGTCCGGCCTGAAATTGTTTTCTTAATCTTCGGATTGCTCATTGTAAGTGTATAGAAACACAACTGATTTTTGTGTGTTGATTTTGTATCCTCAAACTTTGATGAATTACTATTTCTAACAGGTTTTTCTTTTGTATTTCTTTTTTCTTTTTTTCTGAGACAGAGTCTCACTCTGTTCCCCAGGCTGCAGTGCAGTGGCACGGTCTCAGCTCACTGCAACCTGCGCCTCCCAAGTTCAAGTGATTCTCGTCCCTTAGCCATCCGAGGAGCTGGGACTACAGGCACACGCCACCGTACCCAGCTAATTTTTGTATTTTTAGTAGAGAGGAGGTTTCACCATGTT